AAATCAGAATATGCAATGAGGCAGTGATTTGAATGTCAGGCTGGCAAGTTTTCAGTTCAGCTACGGGCGGCTTTTGTCTGGCCGCCGAGTGTGAGCGGAAATTTCTGTGCAGTGTTGCAAAGTTGTCAAATGGCGCAACAAGTTGCTCGTAGTTGGCAACAAAATGGCGGAAACGTATCGCTGTCGTCGTTGGCGTCTCTGCTGACGTCTGTCAGACACTTGAATTAAAGTTTTTCTTCGTTTTTTGTTTTGCTTTCATCGAGGGCCGCCTCTAAATTTATGAAATGAATTTTTAAACGAAACTTTAAAACTTTTTTATTGCTCTGAGAGTTTGCAGCAGCCGCTGTTGCTGCCGCTGCTGCTGATGCTAGTTGCATCCTAATTGTGGCAAAGTTTGCACACGCGTCATATCCTGAAGTCGGCTCTGATAGTGTGGCAGCTGGAAGGCTGTCTGTGTTTGGTGAGCCTCCTGCCGCATGGCTGCCGTTGTCCCTGTCGCTGTTCATTGACTTTGGCAGCAGCAACAACAGCCAGGACAACGTTGCACAGAGAGCACACACCACACTACACCACACATTCACCCACACACACACACACACACACACACACACAACTGGAGTGAAACGCAGTGTGACTTTGTTTTTAATACACTCCAGTGGCCGTTGCATCGATCGCCCGGACAAACAAGGCGCCTGTCTGCCACGAGAGCCGCAGTTCATTACTCCTCCAGCCAGCATGTCCTGTGGCCAGCCTGGTGTACTGACTTTTCATGCTCATATTTTGCACACACGCCACGCAACACGCGCCCTGCTATCCTTTGGCTCACTTGAAGCCATGACAAAGATTATCAATAACCAAGCAAAAGGGACGAGCGAGCTGTTCATTGTGACTGCAACGGATATTGGCCACGCTTGAAACTTTGTTGTTGTCAGCCTTAATCCAATATTCGCCATCGACATCAATATCAATCGCCATTGCAATCGCCTAGTCACATTTGGTTTATGTTTTTTCTCATCGCCTTATCGCTGCTCATCGGGTAAACCTTAAATTGTTATTACCATATTTAGCTGAGGCATTCACAGAGTCCCCAGACAACCCTTTAGCTCCACCAGTCACCCACACAATGTTGACTGAATTGAAACAAAAAGGCCGCCGATATTGATGCTCTTTCAGAGAGACAGTCAATGATGTCTTGAATATATGTTTAGCTATGAATTTTATTTGCTGATCGTTTTACTACAAGATTCATAGAGGCTATTAATTCATTTAATCTTTCTTAGTATTCCTGGAATCCGATTTGTAATATCATTGAATATGCATTAAATTTCAAAAAATGGGCTCAAATATCAAATATAATTTCATTTCATGATCACAAACAATTTTTTTTTTTAATATTTTATTTAAATGCATACCAAACAATAATGTTGCGCTGACTTTGCACTCTGTGAGAGTAAAGTTTTGCGAAAGCAGGCGTCTGTTTTATGTTAGAATTTGGAGGACATAAACATATTCTGTGTGTGGCTGGGATGTTTGGCATTTTGGCTGTTTGCAGCAGCCACAGGCCGCATCGTCATAATTTGCCAAAGGCACTGTGGCAGGAAGTTGCCGCTGAAAAATATGTAGATTCAAGTAGCCAGAGCTGTAGGTCTTTGGGAGGCATGTTGAAGGGAGGGTGTGGGGGGTGGCGGTGGCAACCTTGTCATATCCTGTTGACGGTCGCTGACAGACGCTCAGCGCTCAGGTGGGCCGCATTGCCTTTGTCTCTGCGTTGGCTGCTGCCTCTGGCCGTGGCACGGCGGAAGTGTGAAATATTTTTAGAGCACTCTTTTTACCTGCTTCAAATGGAATTTGTTTCGTTGGAGCGTATTTTATTGGCATTTTCCCCAGCACATTTTGTGCACGGACTATGAAAATGCCACGAATTGCGTTCTACACTTGCGGCCCAGCAATTTTCGTATTAAATTTCTCATTTTAGCCAGTTGACTTTTCGTACATTTACGCTAAAAATTGCTATTGCATTTTGTGTTGCGTGCGCACTGCGTATAATTGATTTAGCCAAATTGCTAAACGAATCAAAGCTGGCAAATTGTGCGTGCGGCCAATATGCACCCCAATGTACCCAAAACGGTTGTCCTGCACTGCACTGCAGAAGAAAAAAAGGACACTGGCCAGAAACTGTCACAGGCTTCAGAGGCGGGGGGATACGGAAGCCTTTTAATTTTGTTGCCGCACACGTTGCATAAATTTGTTGCCTGGTATTTTGCATAATTATGCGACAGTTGTCAATGAATTTGCATGCATTTGCTGTTTCGATTTTGGGCCAAGTTTGCACCACAGAATTCGATTGATTGAGATTTCCCAAAACTGCAACAAATTAACAAAAATTCAATTACTAATTAGAACAATACATGTACCCCAAAAACACTGCATTGAGAACTACTTTAATAAACTGAACATGAAAATCAACAACTGACTTGTTCATATATTTATATAGACTATTTCTGTATATTTCGCAATTTAAAAAATTAATCAATAAAGAATTATTTGTCCGTCAAACATTTTCTTGGCTCTATTTACTTTCTGTTTAATATTTTAATGGCATTATTTTTTTGGTTTTGTGCCAATTGAATAATGTTCTGAATTTATAGATGAAAAGGTTATTGGGGTCCTATATTTTCCCCTAATTAAGTAAGTGCTAACACTTTTCAGTGGATGTTGTCTTCAAAATCGGATGGTTCTTTGCAAATGTAATAGATTGATGAACCGACAATGCTGCATGCCAAACAAACAAATTACAACAAATAATTGCTGTAAATTCCAAGCCTGTCAGCGACGACAACACAATTTAGCGGCATTTTTATTACGAATGTTATTTTGTGTGTGTGCCAAAGCAACATGTCGTAGTTCTTCTCTATATATGTTTGTTTAGCTAATTAAATCAAGTAAAGCCCGAACAAAAAAAGAGATGACAAAAATTAAATAATGATAGCTACAATTTCAATTGCACGTTGAGCCCAGTGTGTGGCCCACACCTTTGCCAGCAATTGGCCGCTGCATTTTAGCTGTTGACGCTTTGAAATTTGGGTCAATTATGCGATTTGTCGCGCCACAGACGACGCACATCCATCAGTCCGTCTTACGCACATACATATGTCACTGGCATTGAATTGCTTTTGGTGTGTAGTGGAGTGTACTAGGCGGAGGGAGGACTGAGGCTCGCCTATCTTTGCCAGATGCACAGCAGGTTGCGTTCGCGTTTGCCGTAATTATTTGTCAAATTCACACACAGTGAAAATGGCCACTAACGAGCAACAGGCAGCCAAACAAATAGTCGAATAGGCCAGCCACCCCCACAAAACACCCAATTGGCAATCAATCAACTGTAATGGCGTTTCACTCATAATGACCCACGTTTATAAATATATATATATATATTATATATATATATCTGCATATTGTTGCTGATTGGGCAGGTGTATCCCGACATCCGCTCAACGGAACGGAAGTCTTTATAAATATATTGGATGACACATACAACTAATGATGACCAAAACAACAGAGATAAGATTAAAGCTGTGTAATTCCATACAGCAGCCCGAAAATATGCAACTAAATTTACTGATCTATAGACAAAATTATTGACATTATCAAGTATATATGCTTTGTTTATTCTGACATAAAACATGAAAAAAATTACACAGCAGTTGGGTTTCTTGTTTATTTTATTTATGTACAAATTTGATTTATGTTTTATTATATTTGTAACAGTAAATTATGTGTTAATATAAATAAATTGCGTGTTTTTTCTTTTTATTTTTATTTTGTTGTATATCGATATCAAAATGGGGTAGTTCATTAAACACAAAGACAAAAGCATAGTTTGGCAAAAGTTGATGCATTTGATTAATGTTTGTCTATATATGTGTGTGTGTAGTTTGCTAATTATGTATTTAGTATACATTAAAATCATTAAATAAATAATAATAAAAACACTATGCGCATTTAAGGCACAAAATGCATTCAAAATACATATTATGATTCTTGTCTACAACTATTTGCTTTTCTTATTGCACTCTGCACTCATAATCATTCATTTATTTAGTACAAATTAAAAGCAATTTTATAGTGCAAATTTGTTGTTTCTGTATTATAGAGGGGTGGTATGGTATATTTATAGGTATGTGCCAAATAATTATTGCTCAGACCGATAAGCGGTTTCTGTTTCTGTTACTGTTATCTGTGTATTGCTTTTCGCCAAGTTTCAAATCATTCTAGATTTATTTACAATTAATTATAGCTTTTTATTTTTTATTTCTACTTCAATTTCCATAGAAATTCTAAACGCATTTGTCATACAACAATCTTGTCTATGGTTTATATAGCTGTGCTCGCCTATTTTTCCGGAAATCAGAAATGAAATTGTAATTTGAAAACCCTATGAAAACCTATCAAATTGCTTAACTTAAGTCATTGAATTTTGAATTTCAAGTACATAACACTCATATATATTTGTCATTATTAATAATTTTGTATATAGAAATTTATAGCTTTTATTTCTCAAAATTGAAATCACTTCTGAAACTAGAGCGTTATAATTCACCCACGGCCACTGTATATGCATTTGTATGTTTATGTTTATGTGTATGTGTGTGTGTGTCTGTGTGTGTACGTGTGTGTGTGTGTACGTGTGTGTGTGTGTCCGTGTGTGTGTGTGTGTGTGTTTATTTATGTATATTATACCAAGCTGTCGAGTGTGGCCCCCCAACCCATATGACGCTTACGTTTACAAATTTAATGCGTTGCCCCCCACACACACATACACACATATACACACACACACATGCACACGTACACACACATGCATACGTACACACATAACACCAGCAACAGCAACAACAACAAGAAAAACAAAAAGAATACTTTGCTTTTGTGCGTGACGACTCATTACTCGCTATCGCTCTCTCTGTCTCCCCATCTCTCTTTCTGTTGCACGCACACAAAAAACTGTAACTGTAACTAAAGCGATTGAATATTTTTTGCAAACTTTCTGCGCTTTGTTACCGCTCCCCTCTCCCCCTCTCGCTCTATATCTCTCGCTCACTCTCGGTGTTTCTCTCTCGGAGAAAAACAAATTTGGATTGTGCAACATTTTAGAGCAAGACACAGCCGCGCTTGTGCGGCCGACGACTGGGCGGACAAAGCACCGAGCGTATTGCCTCATCGAAGACAGTCTTCAGTCCCTTCTGTGTGAGAGCCGAGCATTCCAGATATTTAACCGCGGCAATTTCCTTGGCCATTGCCAGTCCTTGCGGATAGGTGATGGGTGTCAGTTTCTTATCCTTGAGTTTCTCAATCGTTGGCTTATCATCGCGCAAATCGAGCTTGGTGCCGACGAGGATGATGGGCACATTGTTGCAATGATGACGCACCTCGGGAAACCATTTGGCGCGCACATTCTCAAACGAGGCGGGATTCACCAGCGAGAAACAGATGAGGAACACATCTGTTTGTGGATACGATAATGGACGCAAACGATCGTAATCCTCCTGTCCGGCCGTATCCCATAATCCCAAATTAATCGGTTTGGCATCGACCATCACATTTGCCGAATAATTATCGAATACGGTGGGTATATATTCGCCGGGAAAGGCATTTGTCGTATAACTGATCAGCAGGCAAGTTTTACCCACGGCTCCGTCGCCAACAACAACACACTTGATTGCCTGCATGACGTCGTCTCTTGTTGTTGTTGCTTTAGTTTCTTTGTGGGTTGTTTAATAAATTTACACGCAGCAGTGCGAGGGAGCTAGCGAATTCAACAAGTTTTTTTTTTTGGCGATTATACAACTTAATTTTTTTTTTATTGTTTGCACACGCACTCAAACAAACACACACACACTCTCTCTCTCTCTCTTTTAGTACTTGTGTGATCTTTTATTTGTACTTAATCTTTAAATTTGTTGCCCTTTTTCGTGTCACTTGTTTTTTGTTTTATTTTTTCTTGTAATTAAGTTTGTAAGAGAAATTTTTGCACGAGCGAGCAAAAATAAAACACACCCAAACGCTGTGAAATCGACGCTGTCACTGAGCAAAGCAGAGAGCGTAAAACTGAAGAAAAAATTGTGTGTGTTGCTTTTTTGCTTAACAGCTGCACTCGAATGCTAGTCATCTCGCTTGCGCCTACATGAATTAACCGACTGCGCAAAGTATGCCGCGCACGCTCCCACACAAAACAGCAGCAACAGCAAGAGCAACAAACAACAGTCGCGTCTCGCGCATTGTGTACAGTGCGCGAACGCTGCGTGAGTCATCCAGCGACAAAGAGAGTGAGTGTGTGAGTGAGAGAGAGAGATTGCCATGCTCTTTATTTAGCGCTGAGTGCGTTCAGTTGACCTTGCTTTGGTCTTATTTGATGAGTTTTTCCTCGAAATTTGTGCGCCGCTTTCCATGACTTTGTTGTTGTTGTAGCTGTTTGTTGGCTGACTGTTTTAATGGACCACAAAACATATCCGACAATCGACAGCGACGCCCTTGTTGTGGCTACTAACATGGTAACCAAAACGAAAACAAAAGCCAAAAACCAAAATCCCAAAACCAAAACCGAAAGGGCCAAAAAGCGCCAAACCAAAATCCGCATCCGCGCCGGCCCAAAAGCGATAGGCCAAACAAATGCCAACGCTGTTTTCATGCGCTGTTTCCGCATCTCCAACCACGCCCCCCGCCCAACCCGTGTGCGATTCATTTTTGCATATGAAAATTGTTAAAGTGGCGCGCAAAATTTAAAAATTGCAATTCAACAGCAACATCAACTTCAAATATAAATATTTTTGCACATTTGAAGTTAATTTCTTCTGTCTCCGCTTGTAATTGGATAATTAAATAGGCGCTGTGAACGGGTAGTTTATAATAAATTGGCATATATATATTAAGTGGATAATGGAATTGGTATTCACAACAATTAAATCAGCAATGCAATTGTTCAAGTGTCATATAAAATCAGTAAATGTGCGCTTTATCAGTGTGTGGCACTTTATTTTTACTTTTTTTTTGTTTTAGATATGCCATTTAATACGATTGAGTCATGAATGTATTGCTTATAGCACAATAAAAAATAATCTCTTTGATTTTATGTTGTTCCAAAAGTGTTTATTAATTTAAGCCCCTTAGTTGAATCGGATATTTAGTTTTGATAATTTAATTTTGTACTTATCCTTATTATTTATAATTAGAGAACTTTGCTATCCTACGTAATGCAAACATTTTCCTTTATTCCATTGGTTGTTCATTATGAAAATAATTAAAGTAAAGGAGTAAAATATCTGACAGCAAATGCAACAATTATTTGATTACTGTCGCAGTCGTTGCTTCATAATTGGCAAAGTGAAATATATATGCGAGAAAATGAGTATACAACACACGCCCACAAGTTGCCACATCAGGAGCCATTACGATGTGTGTGCAACGGGAGAAGGAGTTCAGAGTTATTCATAATTGTTGTTGCAGCAACAAAAGTGGCAGAGAAATGCATAACAAACTGAAAAATATGCACGCCATTTTTATTGCCACACCAGACACACACACACACACACATGCAGACAATGATATTGCGGGACTATAATGTATGAATGCGCAGCTAAAGAAGCCGCAGCCTGCTGCTGCCGATGTCGACCCCAAAAACAAATATAAGCCGCATGACTGCTGACCAATAATAAATTTAACACTTTAACTGCTGTGTAAACAACTGAATAAATCGCAGCTTCGAACGGTAATGCGACTATATATCGCATGAGTTCCTAACGACATAATCGCCTTAAATTCCAACCCTTAAAATCGCTAGTTGGTAAAAAAAAAGAAGAGTCGAGTAGAGATTTTACTTAAAGATCAGATCAAGATTGAAGATTTTTTAACTTCTATCTTAGCAACATATAGCAAGGTAAACAGAATATATATAATGAATATAGCTTCAAAAGTAATAAATATATACATAAAGTAAATAAAAACCATGCAAGTGTATCTTGTTATTTGACTAAAGCTTTAAATTGAACTTCGAAATGAATAATTATAAAATTTGTGCAGATTCATTTGTTGAACACTTTTGCAAATTAAATTTGTTTAATGAGTAGCGCAATAAAACGCATTTACTGTCAAGTGATAAAATGTCACTGCCTGCAGTTTTATTATTCTCATATATATGTTACATTTATTTCATATATATATATATATATATATATATAGTAGATATACCACATGTCGCCAGCGATATGAAATCGCCCACCCCCACTTTTGAGCCATTCTCATCCTGCCCCCTTTTTGGCTGCTGCCTGTTGACATGCAGCAATTATTAACTTTTATGCGGCTGCTGCCATGACGCCGTGTGTTTGTTATTAATTTCTTGTTATTTATGCAAATAGTTGGCACTTAATACGCTTGTACACATTTTTCGTTTTTTCTGTTGTTGTTTTTTTTTTCCTGCAAATTGCTTTGCGCATTACAATAAATTAACAGCAATAGCAACACACATGCAACAACAATGACCCAACACGTTTCATGCTTATCGACAACGTGGCAGCTCTTAGCGAGCTCTTCTCTGGAATTTAAAAAAAATAACAAAAAACATGTTGCATACCGTGAGGCGTCCGGGCACTTTGACTCTTTCGCTTCCATAAACTGTGTTGAGTTATCGCTGGCAGACGTGAAGTCATCTCTGAATGCTGACCATATAAATTCCTCGCTAAAGGCAGCCAACGAGTTCTTCTATAGTTTTAGCATCTGTTTGGTTTTGCTGGGGTCACGTCTGTCTGCCTGTATGTCTGTTTGACTGCTTATGAATAAAGTTGTTTGGCTGGCATGCCTCTTAATACCGACATATGTATATGTATGTGCTTTCCACCCATCGACATCGACATCAACATCATCATCATCTTTGTATCCGCCATCCCCATTCAATTGGGGTTATTTGTCGCTCTATCTGGCACGGTCTTGTGCTTCGCTTTGTTGACTTTTTGGCTTTCAATGGCCACAACGTCTATTCAATTTTTTGTATGTCCCTATTAGAGCCAGACACTCAACCCACCAGCCCAGCTCGGACCCAACCCAGTCACCCCTCGAGCGATTTGAAATGAAAAGTTAGCTGCCATATTAACAGACATACGTGGTAAAAAAAAAAAATAAAAATAAATAAAAATAAGAAAAGGAAACAAAAATGATATGTGCTGGCCATATTTGTAGGCAGTAAATAGCAAACAGGGCTCGGTGACGAAATGTGTCCTTTGACATTTGATCGCACGCCAGCAAAAACTGATAATCCTGGCCAGAACCAGTCACAGTCGGTGTCATCGTCACAGTCACACTCACACTCAGAGATGATGGGGTAGAACTGGCTTTTCAACAGCTTTTCGGCCTGCTTAATGGCCTGCTGCATTATTTAGCACGTCGCAAGCCAATAAAATGACTTTAAAATACGGTCCCGTTAAGTTGTTGACTTTGAGCCGTAGCGCGTTAAGCATCTTGATACCCAACTATAGCCAAGGATGCCCACAAGTAATTACACTTTCTTAAAAGACGAATTTATTAAGGCTCTTATGTGGATTGCCCTGAGCACTTAGAACTTAGAACTTTTTTTAAGCACTTAAATATGTAAATAAATATAAAGCAACATTTATTTATACATATTTAATGGACTATAATTAAGTTATATAGTATAATAAATATCGTAAAAAACGAAAAATTAAATATTTTACGACTTAAGTAAATCGTAGTAGAAAAGGTTATAATCTCTGTACCAGAAAATGTAGCTCTGCTTAGATAAAATTAAAATAAATTTTACGACTTAAGAAAATGTTATGAAATAACATAGTTTATAGTCTATAAATTAATTAAATTAAAATTAATTAAAATGTTTAACTCATCGTAAGCAGATCTACCTTTTTACTCGTTTCATTTAATGAAATGCTTGATACAAACAGATAGCTTCATTGTATCAATAGCTGAGTTGCTATTGAGAAAATCTCTAGATAATTTCCATTTAAAAAGAGTCTTTAGAATTCGATACACAAATGTTGCTTCACACTCAATTATAAAGCTGGCACATGTGCAGTTGCTCAGCTGTTGAATTGGCGCTTTTCAAGTTTTAGCCGTGACGACTTTTACTTTACTCCGGCATCTTAATTTACTTTTGCACTCAGGCAGCTGGAAAAAGAAGTGCTGGCTCTGGCCTAAAACAACTGCAGTGCGAGGGGAATAGAATGAGGCAGGCGAAGGGGCAAGCAGTGTAGGGGTGCAAAGAATTACGGCAATTTCCTGCGCAATTTCTTGTGGCTGAACTTGCCTGGCTTCGTCGTCTTCATCGTCGTCATCGTCGTATGTTAACAGGCTAGACGCCTATATATACATATGAACTTCGTCTTTTATTTTTTTTTTAGCTGGCGCTCAGCAGTGCAGTTAATTATAATTAAGACGAGTTAACTAACCACTTGCCAGACACTTGAAAAGCGCTAGGAGGGATCTGGGGGTTTGAAGGGGGAACTAACAGCAGCAGCGGCGGCAGCAGCTTTATGTGTGGTGCAATTTAAATGTTGTCGTTGTTATTTGTTGGCTTTAATTAAAGCTGCGTTCATTAAAACGATTGTTGGCTGCGCCCAAAAAGTAGGCCACAAAAAGTGTTGCATATTCAAATGGGGAAGGAGGCAAAAACAACCGACAACCAACAACTAACAACCACAGCCACAACAACGACGCTCGACAGTTATTCAATACGGCTTTGGATTTGTCCTGCCTGCTGTTGTATCAATGCAACAATGGGGCATGTTAGCCGTCAAGGAAGCTGCGAGCTGTTATGCAAAGCCGCCAGCGGCGACGTGCCTTCATTTGCAAGGACAATGCGACACAACGAGGCAAACGAGGATGTCTGACAAAACAACACAAAAAAAAACAAAAAAAGAAAAGAAAAAAGAAAAGCAAAAAAGGAAAAATACACATAGAAAGCGTCGAATGAATGAAACGGCTGACTGAGTGCAGGCAGGACACGCTGGATGACAGTACAGTAGAGACAGGAATGCTATTATAATAAATAAAACGCCTTTCACTCATAACTGCCGCACAATGCACAAACCAAAGCACTGAATAACTCTTGTCTATGTATCTGTATCTGTATCTGTATCTCTGTTTGATTAAAGCAGCGCAGCAAACAATGCAAACACTTTTAATATAGCTGATGGCAAACACTTTCCATCGATGGCTTTAATCAGCTGCCTGCAAATGCCTATCTTAAGGTGTGACTTCTTCTGCAATTAAAGCCAACTGCTGCCGCCCATAAATATGCAATAAATGTGTAGACACACTCACAGATATTTGCACCCACTTATTTGCTCTGAGGCTATTGCATAAAAATCACATTAACAATTTGCTACTACAAGAGTATTTTATTTTTATTGCTGCCTGTTTTATTTTTATATCATGCATCGCCTTTTGTAATACTATGCAAAGCACACACGCACACACGCACACACGCACACACACATTGTGCACACATGTTGCCACCAACAGCAGGAAGCAGCAGTTGCTACCCAGGATCAGAGCTGAGTTTTGCAGTGTTGCCATCGAAAAGCGCAATAAAAACGCTTAATTTTTCACTTTTACACAAACGTGAATAACGCCTCCATTGTTGCTGTTGTTGCTGCTGTTGTTGTTGCTGTTGCTGCTGCTGTTGTTGCTGCTGTTGTTGCTGCTGCTGTTGTTGCTGCGCTGTTGCTGCTGCTGTTGCTGCTGCTGCTGAGTGTGCTGTCGCTTTTGTGTAAGCCATTTAAAAGTTATTTAATTTAATAACACGCACAAAACATGCTCCAAGTAAAAGCAAACGAACATAAATAAGAGACACACACTTTGTGCGTTGCATTGGCGACTAAAACGAGGCAACAGCAACTGTCCGACAGACAGCTGAAGGGGGGCGAGGGGTGTGTGAGTGTGTTCCATTTAAGTCCTTATAGCATATGTGTGTGCTTACTCATATTTGCTCGAATATATACTTTATGCAAGTGGTTAAAAGTGTTGAGCTTAAGCAAAGATAGATTCTGAGACTCAACCAGCAAATATTAATCTAATAGCAAGTGGTTAATTTAAAAGAGTTGAAAGTTAAAGTTAATCAAAGGTCGATTTTGAAACATAACCAGCAAAAATGATTTTAATATAATTCATCACGAATAATAGTAGTAAGTAAGCAGTACAATTCCTCAATTAATGGTTACATGTATTAAGTTAATGCCAGTTCAGTTAATTTTTTTTTTTTGATCGTAACTGCCAGTTTTTGAAACCTTTGAATGGCTTAAAAAATATATATATATATCTGACTTTCAATTAAAATGGCATTTTTGCATTTTAATTGCATGCCGATAAGATTAAATTCACGAGAATACAAACAAACAAGCAAACCGTACTTGAATAAATGAAATATAAACGAGAAACGATATGGCTCGAAATGAATAACCATTGATATTTAAGCTGCGGCAACAGCAACAACAACAACAACAACAGCAGCAATGCAAAAATAAAATAACATAAACAAAAAAGAAAAAACCAAAAAAAAAAAACAAAAAATAAAAGCGAGAGCAAACAAAAGTGATTGTCAATTTGTATTTATGCTGGCTACTGTTGTTCTTATTTTACAGATTTAACAACAAAGCGAACAAACTGCGGCCGCACACAGATTTCAGATTTCAGATTTGGGTTGAAAAGTGAAAAATCAGCAGCGCCCAGTCACACAGACAGGACGAGGACAGCTCGCAAATCCGCACCACCCACAGGACCCAAGGCCAAATGCAATAAGCTGCAGCGAACGCATACAAAGCCATACACAAAGCCAAAGTCTAAGCCCCCAAAGCCAAAAGGAGAGGAAGAGCAAACAGTCGTTGTTGGTCTGGGAGCAGCCGCCAGGATTGCGTTCTTGTACTTTGGACACACGTGCGCCGCGGCTGCGCCGTTGCCGTTGCCGTTGCCGCTGCCGCTGCCATTACCCTTGCCGTGCCCGTTACCCGTGTCCGTGTCGTCCTTGCCAGCGTCAGCGTTAGCGTTGCCATCGCCTTTGGCAACGGCGGCCACAATGAAGCTGTCAAAACTGTCCAACCAGACGAACTCGCAGGATCCGCAGGCGGTTAACTCGCGCATCTTTGTCGGCAATCTGAATACATTTCAATGCTCCAAAACGGATGTGGAGCGCATGTTTCAAATCTACGGCCGACTGGCGGGTAAGTCACCATCTCGCACACATCTTTCGCCTATGTCTCAACTGTCGTCTTACCCCACTCCCTCTCTCTCTCTTTCTCTCTCTCTGCTCGCAGGCATCTCCATGCACAAAGGCTATGCCTTTGTGCAGTTCACCAACCCGTTCGATGCCCGCAACGCCTGTCACGGCGAGGATGGCAAAACAGTGCTCAGCCAAACACTAGGTGAGGCTTATTGTTTATTTAGGAATAGTAATGATGTTCCCATCAATATATATATGTGATAATTATTAATTATGTTCTCTTAAATATTATTATTTTAATTGTACTTATAAAGTTTGAACATTAAAATTAAGTACTTAAGTACTTAATTAATTTCGACTTCGAAGTGTTTGCATATATCATTTATATAGATATACAAAAACTTTAAACATTTCTTCGTTATACCTTGGTTACTTTTATGTGAATGGAGTTGTTGTTTTCGCATAGACATTGCAGACCTTAACCCTCGCATAGTTGCATGTCCGATGTGGCAGAGTCAGACCAGGTTAATGGCCGCCGGTGCCGGAAGTGCAGCACTAAAATCGAACAAGCGCGCGAAAAAAGCAACTTGGTGACTTGCCCTGGGAGCTAAGGAATAGTAATGGAGTATTAGTAACGGGAAGCCGTGGCTACTGCTACTGCTCCTGCACCGGCTCCGACCCTGGCATGTGTAGTGGCCATATCTTAGAGCGCGCCCCGCCAACTAACTGTCTGCGTATTTTGTGCAACGGAAGTCGCTGCAGGCCGCAACTTAAAGTGCTGTCCCAACATAAATCCTTGCGCGATACTTTTAATGAAATTTCAATGTTGTGTGGGAATACACGTATCTGTGTGTGTGTGTGTGTGTGACTGTCTGTGCTGACTACCTGGCAGGCTGACAACTGACTGTTTGTCGATTTAATTTAAACGCTTTATGAAATTTCAAGCTCCCTCGCACGTCACATGCAGCTGCACTGCAACACAGTCAGTGGGCCAGATGATGTACAGATAGATGAGAGAAGGCAATAGCCGGGGAAGGCAGCTGAGAATCCTTCGCATTCTTTCATGTGCCTTATGTGTGTCTCGTGTGAAGAACAACTTAATGCACTTAGCGAGCTATGTCATGACGACTACGATGTGTGATGCGTGATGCAGCATCCTTTCATATTCATACGACCCGTTGGCGATGTGCAATGAAAACTTTTATTGCGATCACAAAAAAAAAAACGTTTTTGATGTTGTTTTTTGGTTTTTATTCCTTTCACAGTGCTTATGCAAATGCAGCAATGCTAATTTCACTGATTAGAGCCAAGCAGAAAGAGAAGCTCAACAAAAATAATACCCCGCACAGAGCACTCCCACTCGAGTTGAGTGGCCGCTGTAATATTTCATTGCGACGCACCATTGACTTTTAAGCGGCAGTGTGGCAATGTTGCCTGGGCCAGCGTTAAACCGATTGCCTTAAAACTTGCGGAAATCCTTCTTTCGCTTTTATCCTTAATCTTAATTATAGCCTGCCAGCAGCCCAGTCCCAGTTCCAGTCAAGGCAAAGTGCCGTTTCAGACAAACAGAAGAAATTCTTGAGAACAAAAAGGCAGAGGCAAAAAAAAAATATATATATGTAAAGCTGCCACACCCCACAGTCCAGTAATTTGTAGTTATAGCAACTGCCTCACAATCAACCAGCCCCCCCTTGACAGGGGCTTGTCTTCTTCTGCTTCTTTTTTTTTGTTTTTTTGTTTTTTTGGGCGCGTTGGTTCTCAGCCACCCTGCGGCGCAGCCGTCGCACTTCAAACTTTGTCATGAATTATGATGAACGAGCGCGAACGAGCCGAACTTGCCACAAAAACCTACATATAAAAAAAAAAACAGACGACTGTCGCACCCTTTTCATTGAAAAATGAAATGTATAATGCATTGGGGCACGATTTTGACTTTTGCTTAGGCTGGCTTCAAATGCTTATATAGAGTATAAAGAGTAAAGTTTTTGTGATGGCTCTTAAAAGAGATATTGATTTTTATAGTAAAAAATATAAATTTTGTTTCGTTAGTTGAATCATTTTATTTCATAATACTTTTAAAGGATTTGTGAGTGTTGGCTTTTATCTATTTCTTCTTCCTTTTAGTAGTGTATTTAAGGTTCGGTTTTTAACTGTTTAATCACCATTTATCCTTTCATCCTTTTCCAAAATCTGACAATGTCTTTGGTCGTTGTTAACTGCGTTTTTCATTTATATTTCCTTTTTTATTAAGATTAATGATTGCGAGTCAGATTAAATGATTATGGTGTTGCAGTTAGACAACAAATGCACAAGGCCTGTGTTTTGTTTTTAATCACTTAGAGTTCTCAACATTTGCATAATGAAAAATCAACACAACAAACATAAAAATCTAGATTTGCGCATAATAGAAACGGAAATGTCATTGTCTCCAGCCTTACTTAGTCAGCCACTTCAAAGGCACAATATGTTTTGTGGTTTCGGCAAGGAGTCTTTTTTGGGATAAGGCAAATATTCTATTGTTGCCTAGTTTATTTGTGGGAATACAGTTAAATTTCATACTGGTTTTGTTGCAACCACTCTTCCATTTTCAGATGTCAACATGGTAGCGGAGCCGAAGGCCCATCAAATTGGAAGGAAACGCCAGAATGTCAGCAAAACGGGCAACGATTGGTGAGTGCCTACAAAAAAAAAAAAAAAAATGAAAACAATTTCGAATACAATTTCATGCTTCACATTTTAATTTAAATAAATGCGCCTGTGTTTAGAGCAAGTTTTTGCGCAATTTAATGCGGCCATGTGGCGCTCATTTGGAGTTTATTTACATATCATTTAACGGCTTGGCTTGGGACTAGGCTGAAAGTTTCTATTCTTTTTTTTTTTTGTGCATTTTGGGCGACAGCCGCACACACAAATAAATAAATAAATAAGGGACAATCCATCAGGGCATGGACATGGACATGGACGTATTCGTATTCGTATTCGTCTCCTTTGTTTCAACGCCGGCTCACATAAAATATTTCGGCTGTCAACTCTATGCGAGTTTTTCGTTGCCACTTCCGTAGCTCCGTCTCCGTATATAACTCCGTCCGTGTCCGTGTCCGTGTCCATGTCTGTGTCTGGGTCAGTTGTGTGTTGTTTCGAGTGCTGCGTCCACACACAGTACGTAGCTGAAACTGTGTACACAAAAAAAAAACAACAAAAAAACAAAGGAAAAAAAAGGAACGACTGTCTGTGAGTGACAGTTGCAATGTATGCTATAATATCCTTGCGCTTGGTCCTGGCGCTGACATGTGCACTTGCTTGTCCCTAGCGCGGCCTTAATGATGACTGAGCGAGCGAGCGCCCCGGCACCATTCACAATTTATTTCGGACGACTTGCAACTCGTGTGGAAATATTTAATTTAAGCTTAATGACACCGAAAGGAAGTGCGTTAAGGCTTTAAAAAGGTCGAATACGACACACTGACAACGACTTGATTGTAATTAAAACGCAAACATTGGTGCTGCTGTCCAGGTGCTCGTGCTTGGTCTGTTTATAGGCTCCTGTTTGTCATTTAAATGCCTGCTCTCAGTCCATCTGACCACACACAAATTGACCGTAAAGCCACAATTGTTTGGCCCCGACGCCCACGTAGCCTACCCACGTTGGCCTCGGTGGCCAAACGATATGAATACTGCTTCCAATATTCGACCACAAAATGGATACTGACGCTGGCATTTGTATCAATCACAGGCAACACACAAAACATGCAGTCGTCTGTTGGAACGATGTTCGATGGGTGCTAAAGGGGACGCCCTGTCAAAAGGGTGGCAAAGTGACACATAATTGGCAAATGACAATTGTAACGACGACATAACAGTAACTGGGGATGAGCCCTTAACAAATATTGACCGACGAGCAGAGAGGTTGTTAGGTCGATAGGCAACAGTTGGCAGGCTGTTCATTTTTATATGCGATACCCAAAACTGGTCACAAAATAAGCATCTCCGATCTCAGCATCAGGTTTGATTCCTGGTCGGGTCAATCCTTAACCAATATTTCTTCTAAGCTTAATTTTGTAATTGATAGAATGAGTGCAGGGTGTCTCCAAGTCGAGCTTTCTCCTCTTACATATTTGGGTAGCATTCATTTAGGGGTTGTGGTTTCGTTGACACCTCAATTACAGCACTTGCCACAACTAATGAGCTGTCACTCCTTGAATCTATATTTTTATCAGGGACTACTTCTATGATAGCTACTGCTCATCGGCGCTGCTGCGCGGCGGCGGAGGTGGGGGTGGTGCCAATGGTGTGCGTCCCAAAAAACGCAAGCGTTTGATGGCCAGCAACAATAGTATGGCAGCGGTTGTGCAACAGCAACATCAGCAACAACATCATCATAGCGCCGCTGCAGTTGCAGCAGCTGCTGCTGCTGCTGCAGTACATCATCAGCAACAGCAGCAGGCGGTACAGCAGCAGCAGCAGCAACACCAGCAACATCAGCAGCAACAGCAACATCATCACCATCAGCAGCAGGTTGCCGCTGTTGCCATGGCAGCGATGGCCAATTTGCTGCCACAGCAGCAGCTGTTGCTGCATCAGCAGAATTTACTATCAAATGCGGCGGCTGTGGCCACAACAGCGGCCACGACAGCGGCGCCCGGCACACTTCACTGGTCGCAATACAAACAGGACCAGCAGCAACAGCAGCAACACCAACAGCAACAACAACAGCAGCAACAACAACAACAACAGCAGCAACAATTTGTAGCCGCGGCCACAGGTTTCCAGCTGAAGAGCGTCATCGCCGGGCAGTCAACGACTTCGCCACAGAATGCAAAGTCAGCAATAATTGCTAATCAAACAGCACTCGTGGAGCCGTACGGTGCCTTTTCCCAACAGCTATCGCATCACCAGCAGCATCAACAGCAACAACAACAGCAGCAGCAGCAGCAACAGCAGCAACAACAGTTGAGCTGCCTGCTGCAGCCGTTGACTTTGGCATTGTCCCCACAGCAACCGCAGTCGCTACAATTGCAGAGCCAACTGATGCAACAACAGCAACAACAGCATCAGCATCATCAGCAGCAGCAACAACAACAACAGCAACTACATCAACATCAAGAGCACCAACAACAGCAGCATGCACAGGAGCAATTAAGTTTGCATCAACATTGGGGACCATTCAAAGTCTACAGTGAGTATTGACTTGATTTGTTTACTTTTAGTTTATCTTCATGATGATAGCAGTAACCGATTGCCATTCAAGATTTCCGCATTGATAAGCAAACAGTTCGTTGTTAATTGAGAATATCTATAGAAATCGAGTACTCTCTAATTTAAAGTTATTAAATATTTACTTTATAGAAAGGATCTCACAGAGAGAATGCAGGGAGCAGATAGTTGACATTTTAATTATGCCAGCTTTTGTATTAATCATTATCTCCATGTGCTCGAATTTGGCTTTGTTAAACTTGTCAAATAATGCCTGCTGAGGACGATTCATCGCTTTCGACTCTGAATATGAGAAATGTGTCAAAGTCACAGAACTGCAGTTAATATATACTATCTTCTCGCCGTTGTAATCGCATCCTGCATCCTGCAAGTTGTCCACGCCGAACAGCCACAAGTGACTAAGAACAACACATCTGCAATTGCTTCGCAGCAGCGTTTTCCATCCGCATATGTTAACGGCTTGCTCAGGCTCAAAGCTAGTCTGTTGGCAAACAATTTGAAGACCCCGACCAACACACTTGAGTCGCAATCAGAACAGCAATCACAGCAGCAGAATTCTCCTGAGCAGATCTCGGATATTCAAGCCATGAAATCCTTGCAGCAGGAGAATAAAGATCAACTGCATCAGCAGCTGAACCAGCTGGAAATGGATCTGAAAAAACAGGATGACCAGCTGCATCAACGAGACTTGCAGTTCGCTGTAGAAGTTTCCGCGGAGCAACAACAGCAATTGCACCAGCTAATTGAGAAGCTCGAGGCACAGAACCAGGGTTCCGAACAGCTGCCAATGTCAATAAGCCCTCAGCAAGCAGCGCAACCTGAGATGAAATTGGAGCTGCCTTCATCCATTCAAGCGGTTGGCATGGCAAATTCCAGCGTTCAAATGCAACTTCTGCAGCAACTTTCTAACTACTTTGGACAAGGGCAGCCACAACAACAGCAACAACAACAGCAGCAACAACAAAATCCACAACAACAATCACAACAAACTCAGCAATTGCGGTTGAATGTTGCACAGTTGTCACCATCATATCCGGATGACCAGGGAGGGGATACATATGTCGATAATAAAACAACAACGGAAGCAGATGACTGCGATGATGTCACATCGGTGCCGCGTCCATTGATGGAAACCACCAAACGAACCACACAGAGACCAACACCAAAAATCACAACATCAGCGCCCCTAGATAATGTACAAGCAATAACAATATGTGTGAAAAATGGCCTTTTACATTCGACGACTACTGTTCAGCCCAAGGTTAAAAAGGATCCACAAAAGCATCCCAAATCCGAGCCTCACGCAAAGCCCCAAAAGAAGCCTCAAGCGAACACCGCAAACTGCGAAACAAGGACTGAATCGAAGACCACAGACAATCCTTTCAATATGAGCAAACTTTTCAACTTATCGCACAAGTTGTTCGGAATGAAGGATAAACAGCAGCGACTTAATCGAGATGCAAAGTCCAACAATGAAATTCATATAAAAATTGATGCAATTGCAACGCTGCTGCAATATCGCAATAGGCATAGTGATCCAACTCAAAATGAGCACAAGGAGCCGGTTCGACAGGGGGAACCAGCACAACAGGCTCAAGACAGCAAGAGAAGAAGAATAACAAAGGCATGGAGAAAGGTGAAAGGTCGCAGGCATCGTGGGGTCGTTAGTAGGAAGCAGATGCTGCAGGCTGAGGCCAAGATTTGGCCTATAAGAAATAATAAATATATTTTATAATTTGTGATCAGTTATTTTATATGATGATTTGAGAAGCCGAAAAGTTACTTTGAGTAAATTTAATTAGAAGTAATTTCCTGTTGAATGGTAACCTTCTACTATTACTTGATATGCCATGTGCTATATATGTGGCATTCATGCCAGGCAGCTTGCTTAGAGTAATGGCATTAAAATCCATATTTTATATCTGTTTCGTTATTGTAGGCAATCCGGACACATTAATCTGTGGCAACTGCCGGGAATGCTTCAGCGAACTGTCTGAGTTATTGGACCACAAGAAAAGTTACTGCAAGCTGAGGTTCACATGCAAGTGCCAGGATGTGGCCTTTGCCGCAAGTAAGTCGTCAGCAAAATGGGGCGTGGTATTTGCTGTCTGCAATTAATTTATGATTGTTAAACACTTTTTGCCAAGGCATTTGTTCGCCTTATGTCCATGTTTGTGTGTGTGTGTGTGTGTGTGTGTGTGTGTGTGTGTTTATCTAAGGCCACATTCTATGGAGATTGCTTGTTGCAAGTCAGCAACATCTGTCCGTTTGTCTGTCTGTTCGTTCTGCGCTTTGCTGCAAATTCATTTAAAATTGAGTTATTTATGCGACTAAGCCCAGCCCAGTCCTATTTTCCGCAAATTCCAACTTAAATAACTAATTAATTCTTGCTTGTTTCGCCCACACACACATATACGTATATAGAAACGCCGCCAACGAGCGCCAAATTGCTTTGCGCCGTTTGCAAGGATGCATTCACCAATCCCTGGGATTTGATGGTGCACGCACAGGCCGCACACATGGTTAACATTTACGAGCTGGGCGATGAGGCCGCCAACGTTGTGACTGCCGCCAATGGCAATGGCAATCCCAGCCCCAGCAACAACATCAACAACAACAACAATGCAAACGATGCAACTGCAATTGCAGGCAATGTTGCTGCTGCTGCTACTGCTGTTGTTGCTGCTGCTGCTGCTGCTGCTGCTGTTGCTGTTGCTGATGATGAGGCAACAACCATAACAAAGCACATGCCAAAGTCAGCAACACTTAACAAGGAGCCAAATAACAATAACAAAATTAGCAACAATAACAACAACATCATCAATGGACACATGTCGCCCATTGCCAACGGCAGCAGCAACGATGTCGTTCCAGTTGCAGCTAATGGCATTGATGTTGCTGCCGTCGCAGTTGCTGTTGCTGCTGCTGCTGCTGCCAACAACAACAACAACAACGATGGCCATGTCAGCAGCGATACGGAGACGCACAGCATGGACATCAAGTTTGATCTCTGTGTCAGTCCCAAGGAGGTGTGTACAAGTATAACAAACTTTGGCTTTTGCTATAGCAAAATGCTTTCTTCTTGTTTTGTTTCTTACAGGAACAGCAACGTGATGATCTGTCGTTGGATGGACGACTGTCCAGCAGCCCGCAGACGCATCATTCGGATGATATCAATATGAATATTAAGCTACTAAACGGTTCGGTGTCCTCGCGCGGCAGTTCGCCAGGCCTGGAGTCCGATGAGCCGCCGGCAACGCGTGCCTGCATTGTCCGAACCCTAAGCATTGTGAGTATGATAATTATATATAATCATATACAGGATACAGCAAAGGAAGGCAATAATATGTGCTGGTTTTTTATAATATAAACATTTCAAATATTTTTGTTTCTTATCTTTCATTGCGTTGAAAAAGTAAATATATTTTGAATAAGACTTTACTTATTGTATCAACAAAATTAGATTAAGTTATTTTGATTCTCCAAATTATTAACATATTTCCCATTTATTTTCTCATAATTTCAGGAGGCTGCCGGAGCTACAACCACGCCAACTTCGAATGCCTTGAGCCTGATGTCCAATGGCCTCAGCTTGGCGCTGGCACCGCAATAGGCCAACCTTTAACTGACTGGCTTTAAGTAGAATCAAAAGCGTTGCAACCGCATCCCCGTTATATAATGAGTTTAGAGGATATAGTATGTGCTTTAGGTTTGTGTGCAGATTGAGGGAGTATTTAAAATGCTCATATTGCTTTTGTGGCTTTTGTGTATTGTATTGAGAATAAGTATGTTATCGTCAGTGGGATGCAAGTGCAATTTATTCAGTATTTTTGTACTAGACTTAAACTGAGAAATGAAAACGTAAATTACCAAAAAACATATCATTTTTAATTAGCAACTAGGTATTATCGTAGCTATAACAATTACAACTAATTATATATAATAGTATGTATGTATCGATGTGTGTACTATTTAAATTATATAAATAAATGCCTATCTGGTCTGTTTTCGTTTTTGTGTTCAAGAAAACGTATTTTGGGTTTCAAAACTGCATATGAGAACAAATAGGTAAAAATATAAGGACAAAACCAAAAACCAAAAAAAAACAAAAAACATCTTCGGAAAATGTCGTCAAAAGTTCATGAATTATGAGTAAGGATAAGTTAAACTGCATCATGTAGGACAAAAGAGCTTTGTATATATTCACAAATACAAAACAACTAACAAAGTCAAGTACTTAATTATTGTTAGTTGACAAAATACCCCCCCAAAAAAACTTATATTTTATATACAAATACGTATAATAATTTAACTAATATTTAATATGTAACATGCCAACAATATTATTATTCAAAATACGTACCATTGTATATCATATGTAGCATAGTGGCAACAGGTGTTTCAAAAACAACAGCAAAACTCCAGCAGAAAACAAAAAAAATGAAGTGAAAATGAAAATGAAAAAAAAAACCCCCGAAGGTTTAATGTTATAATTATATAAACATATTAATATTTAAAGTTATATATTAATACTTGCATAAAGGCGTATAAAAAAAATTTGCAGCTATGTAAATAGATTAGATCTACAACAACAACAAAATATAATGAAATATTGTAAACAAGTAACAACATTCAATTCAGTGTCCTCCAGCTAAAAATGTAAACAGGCAGAAAAATGTATTTAATAAATGAATATTATACAAAAATCTTTTAAATAGTGTCTTAACTGGAAAATCCACTTTAACCAATAATAAACGAGGGTCTGCTGAAAAAAAAGCGAAAGTAGCTCTTCTCATTTCATATGGATGCTGTACTCAGTGAGATTTCAGTTTCGGTGCACATTTGAAATTCTATTTTCAAACTCTCATTAAAATAAATGATGATCAACTGCACACGACAACACTTGTGACTAGCGACAGACGACAGACGACGGGCGACAGAGTGTGTAAACAGCAACAGCAGCAGCAGCAGGACAACAACAAGGACATTGCAAACATTGTTGAAAGCAAAGCGCACGATAATGAAAAGCGCCAACAAAAGGTGAGCGCAAGTGGGTGCACAAAGGAGAGGCCAGAGTTGCCAGAGTTGCCAGAGACTGCCTCACACTCCACGAAAAGTTTTTGGACACAATGCCAAAATGCAGTTAACTTTATTAAAATGCGCAACGAAAACGACTCGCACCGTGTTATGTTACTGTTTGGCTGGTTGTCCTTGCCGCTGGCTCTTCTTCGTCCTGTGCCCAAACATTTTTATTGTCTGGGTCTGCAACGTGTGGCGGCCATTTAGTTTCTGTTTCTGTTTCGGTTTCGGTTTGGAGGTCGAGTTAAGCGCCTGCGGTCGAGCCACATTCTGGATTTAAAATGCATAAGCAAAGGGCAAAATACAGCAGCCGTTATTCAATTTGAGGCCGGGCAGCCTTAAAGTGCGCTGCGGCTAATTAGAATGCCTCGCCCAGGTGCGCCACAGTTCGCAGTTCGGAGTCCGCAATTCGCAGTTTCAGTTGGCGCAAAGGTAACATTTAGCCAACTGAAATTACGAGTGGCAACTCCCGCTGACTGGGGACCTTCGGTTCACGTTACTTTACTTTACTTTACTTGACTTTACAGTGTGTATGTGTATGTGGAGTTCTCGCAAATTACGCGAGCTTAGCCCAATGAAGTAATTGAAATGACACCGAAAACTGGAATTCACACCTAACACACACGGCGTATGCGTGTAGAAACTAAAGGCTATCCCTTTGGGGCCACCGCGTACCCAGTTGTATAACAAGCAACGCCCGTTCAGCAAACAGTATATAAGGCGAAGACTCGACATACGCTCGCCTGACTCAGTCAACGTTGTCAGTACGCGTCGGTACGTTATACTCGGAATTGGAACCGGAATCGGAATCGTGGTAGTCGAACTCCAATACGGTCATGTCGACGAACAGCACACAGCCGCCGACGCCCATTAATGGGCTGGAGGTGCCCAAGCAACCGACTTTTGCTACCTCTAATCAATGGAAGAGGGCGGCCCTGATGACCAAGACGGCGGCGGCTGCCAGGGACAATTCAGATGATAGCGAGGAAGAGGTGGATACCAAGCAGCAGATCAAATATGGCAGCGGCTTTCAGGCGGCCAAAGCGATTGTTCATGAGTATTGCGACTATAGTACAATTCATGGCATACGCTATCTGGGCGAGAAGAAGCGACCCTGGTTGGAGCGTTTGTTTTGGGTCAGCGTCTTTCTGCTCTCGATATTCACCTGCTTCAAGCTAACACTCAACATCTGGGACAAGTGGAACAACAATCCGGTGATTGTGAGTTTTGCTGAGAAGTCGACGCCAGTGTGGCAAATACCCTTTCCATCTGTCACTGTCTGCCCCGAGACAAAGTCTCGCCAGAGAGCGTTCAACTTCACGGACATTTATTGGCAACTTCGCGATTTTCAGGCCAATGTCAGTGGTATATCTGATCTTACCGAAAAGGAGTGAGTATATTGTTGAGGACTACATTTAGTTTAAAGAAGCAATAGAGCAGAGATAAAGCTCAAGACTTTTTTATGTAAGCCAAAATTTAAAATATAAATATATACATTTGAAAAACTTTCACAGAAAATTAACATACGGAGCAGTGAGTCAAGTGTGTGATGCTCCGCTGCATGACATTGACTACGGTATGAAGGTCCGAAAGGGAATTGAGATCATCGATGAACTGAGCGAGGTAATACCTCTGTTTGATGAGACCTATCTGGACTGCAAGTGGCGCAATGTGCCCATCAAGTGTAATGAGATCTTTCACAAGTTTGTCACCGAGGATGGCGTCTGCTACAGCTTCAACTCTCTGAGTCCCACTGAGATCTTTCGAGCCGAAGGGTAAGAAGTAGCTCTACTTCGATATTAAGTTACTAAGAATATTTATTTAGCATTATACCCGACATCGTCTTTCGCGAGGAGAATCGTCAGCCCACTGAATGGAATGTGGAGGATGGTTATAGCATTAGTGCCAATACGGAGACCTATCCGCATCGTGTTCTAGGTCCAGGCGCCAAAGCTGGTATGTATCTGTTTTTGGGCGGCATTGAAAAAGATTTCGATGATATGTGTCGTGGACCAGTGCAGGGCTTTAAGGTGTGTATTCCACTTGAATGTGTTGCATATGTTGCATACCACACACATAACATTACTCGCCAATTAGATTCTGTTGCATACGCCTGGTGAGGTGGCACAGGTGACAAGACAATACTTTCGCATACCCTTCGATCAGGAGGTTCTCATATCGATACGACCCAAAATTATTACCACCTCGGATGGCCTGAAGCACTATGAGCCCCATCGGCGACAATGCTACTTCCAGAAGGAGCGTCATCTGCGCTACTTCAACATCTACTCGCAGACAAACTGTGAACTCGAGTGCCTGGCCAACTTTACGCTAACCAAATGCGGCTGCGTCAAGTTCTCCATGCCGCGTGAGTATCGAGCAGGTGGATGTGCAACCTATGTGAGACTAATGTATTTCTTTGTAGGCAATGTGAATGTGCCCGTTTGTGGTGTTGGCAATTTGAAGTGCTATAACGATGCCGAGGATGAGCTGTTTCTCAAGGAGTTTCAACAGGGCATGGCCACTGAGGGTGAGAACTATCGCGGCCAGACGGACTGCAATTGTCTGCCATCCTGCACCTCCATTGCATATGAGGCAGAAATCTCTCAAGCTGATTTTGATTACAAGACTGTTGCCAGCAAGGATAAGGCAGCGGGTGACGAAGCAAAACGCGAAGGGTAAGCAACTTTGAAAATGATAACCCCTTCTTAGTCTCAATTTCGATCATTTCGTTGGCAGCATGAAAATGTCGCGTGTTTCGATATTTTTCAAGGAGGCACAATTTCTTACCTCGCGACGCTCGGAACTTTATGGCACCACCGATTTTCTTGCCAATTGTGGTGGTCTGCTGGGCCTGTTTATGGGTGTCTCCATGCTGAGCATTGTGGAGCTGGTATATTTCTGCACAGTGCGTTTGATTTCCAATTTGCGTATGCGTCGCAAGACACGCAAGGAGTTATCCCTGACAAGGGATCCCAACAAGGAGGCCTAGTTTGGGGATACGTTGAACGCCGAAACGAAGACAACTGCTTATCAATAAACCAGAGGTTTCCCTTTCTCTTCGTATATGTGTCTGTGTGTGAGTGTGTTGTGTTTAAACTGCAAACAATGGAAATAAATTTGTACTCTTAGCACAGTCAGCAATTGAGCTCGCAGTTGGAGTTGAACTTTTGGAATAGGATGCCACTTAAGATGGCTGATAGGATAGGACCCGCATTGCTGCTGCGACTGCTGCTACTGCTGCTGCCAAAGTCAAATGATTGTGGTTTGTTGTGTGTGCATTTCAAATGGAATTAATTATTTTATTGTGTGATTTGCTGCTGCAATTCGATTCGATTGCCAAAAGTCAATATAGGCTAGTCGTCGTTAGAAATAGCAAACTCGTCTCCAGTCTAATATGTTATGCAAGGGCAGGTCTTTGATTTGCCTGCCAGGAGGCAGTTAGTAGAAATGAGATATAGATATCTAAAGGGATAAGCCCCACCTTTTGTAGTGCAAACAACTCAACTTGACTCAGTTCAACTCAGCTCTGCTCTTAACTCAAGTTGTGTGCGTGCGGCTCTAATGGAAATCCAATTGAATTAAGTTAATTATGATGGCAAATATTTAAACAATAGCTGCAATTTATGTACATAATCTCACACACACATACACACACACACACACATTATTATTAGTAGTGGCTTTAAGCTATGAGCTGCAGTTGTCATTTGGTTGAATTCAATTTGCATGCTCGACTCACGGCCATTATTAGCATATAATTTGCAATGGCAGCATGCAACTTGTGTGCAACTGTTGTGCAACAGTTGTGTGCCGGCTACGTGCTCAAAAACTACTGAAATATGCATGACACCAATACACACACTCACACACACACACACGCACACACACATGGCATAGTTCGCGCTGTTGAGTTCATTATGGCAACAAGTGTCGAAATGTGTCGAAATATTGCAAATAAAATTGACACATTTGCATACTACTAATAAAATGATGCATGTGGAAAACTGGATGCCGCTGAGTGTAACAATGGCGGTTGCACGTTAGTCGCAGCCTTAACCTGCCACCAGGCATAAATGTGGCATGTATGGATGTGCGTGTGTGTGAGTGTGTGTGTGCAGTTGGCACTTTCCACTTCAACGCTTGATTCGTGCACGCCAATTTCATTCATATGATTGTACATATATAAGTTAAAATGAAATTTATGACAATTTCATATTGATGATTTCTGGCGAGGCTGTCTCCATAGGTTTATTGATCACATACATTTCAAATAATTGTTATCTTTCAAAGAAAATAAAATATTTTTAATTCATTTGTTCACTTGAATGTCTCTTTGTGTTAGTTGATAATACTTAACATTAATATTGATTATTTATTTTTATCAAAAAATGTGTTTATTAATTCGATCAGTTGGAGTTCGACCCCTGTTAGCTGTATACTAAGATGAAGAAGAACTTCAATAATATCGATATAAATTTGACAACTTTTTTGGGCAACTCTCGAAACAGTTTTATGTGTGTCGCATTACCAGCCAGACTGTGAGAGAGACATAATGTGACATTGGCTATTAAGGACTGAAAGCAGCTCGTCAACTCTCGTCGATGTCAGTAATCAATTTACATTTATAAACCAGACAGCAGACGGGGTATAAGAAGCGAATAAGTCCTGAATAACATGGCATTTCACATTGGCAGCAGCTGCAACAACAATAGCGGCAGCAACAATCGTACCTTGACAGGCGCAAAACTCTATAACAATATCAATAAAAAAGTTGTTTGGCAATCGCAAGAAATTGCTGGGAATTTGTAATTAAACTTTTGCAACACAATGCAATGCAAGTTGTGTGTCGCTGTCGCTGTCCGCAGTGTCTGGCAGCAAAAACAACAATCAAAATGCCTGGCAACAGGCAACAAATCAGCAACAATAACAAACAACAAACAATCGCGGCATTGGCCAAAGTTCGCTTCATTTGCTTGGCATGGCTTTAAATTTCCGGTTTCCGGTTTTAGGCGCCGCACTACCACCCACCAACGCTCAGACTGTGCACCGCTGTTGGTCGCCATTGGCGGCCATGTTTGTTTGTATTTAAGTCGGTTTCTGAGCAACATTTTGCGGCATTCAACAGCACGAGGCTGTCATGTCACAAGCGGCTCACCTGCCCGGCCACTCAGACAGCCAGCCGGCAAGCAAGGCTTCTAGTTAGTTTGGCTTTTGAACTGACTGCTTAAGCGGAAATGACTTGAATGCTTTTGTACGGCACGCATACACACATACACACACACACACACACACAGAGAATCAAATAGTCGACACACTCGTGGCATATGTGGAATTTCGCACTCGACGCCTACCTTTGTGGGGGGCGTTAGCAAAACTTTTGTGTAACGCGATTAGCGGTTTGCATTTTGTTTGCTGTTGTGTCTGATCCAAAAGTCGTTTGCATATATATATATATATATATGGAAGACAGTTAACTGCAACAAACAACTACAATGTGCAGTGCAGTAATTGCAGATTTTAGATTCTCAGCCGTAGTTTGAAAAGTCATTAAAAACTTCTGTGAGCTCTCACAGAAACTTTGAAATGTGAATTCGAAATTTTTGATTAAATCGTTTGGCGGCGCATTTGCGCAAGTGAAACAAGGAAGATGTTGCGCCAAGACAATTAATGAAAAATGCATGCCAACCAAATGGCAAATCAATGTTTATCGTGACATCAATTGCGAATTGACGACACACACACATAAGTACATATTGTACATATATAGATTGTCACGCACACATATCCTTGGTTGTGGTTGGTATTGGTATGATAAAGCGGATGGAATTTGTATGCAAACCGCGCACTAAATTAGATTCTTTTTTACTGCATTGGCATCGCCTGTCGATGATGACAACGCCATCATCTAGGATGCGGATATACTTCGATTACTGGCTGCCTGCCTGACTGCCTGCCTGCCTGACTGCCTGACTGCTTGTCTTTTGGGTTTGGGTTTGTCCTTGCAGCAGCAGCAGCAGCGGCACGGACGATAAAATGCGTAAGCTCGTTAAAATTACAGGCGTCGCTCCTTTTATAATACGAATAATGATCGACTGATGGGTGGCATATATACATATATATATAGTGGGTGGTGGCGTCTGCGGTATTGATTTGACTTTTGTCGTAATGCATAGTGAAATGTTTGATTTCGCCTCCAGTCTGGATATGGTATCAATAACCCCAACCCTCCATTTGGGGTGAGGGCGCGCATAAAATGTTAATGAGCGTGTGAAGCGCTTGTTAAATGTGCTAACGCCAGGTTTGTGACCTGTAAAACTTGTCTGCTAAAACAGATGCATGTGCCAAATACATTATTTGTACTCCTAATAGCAGCATAAGGAGCTATATTAATCGATAATCAAATATAGTTGGAGTGTTGCAGATGGCACACGACAATTCAAACAGATTATTCTCAGATTAAAATTCACGCATATTCAAATGAATATTTTAACAAAATTAAATTTATTATCCCTTAATATCATTAGGTATAAGTTCTTATTAATGTTTATTAATATTTAATATCTATAATACTATTATAATTATTATTATCTATTTATAATTTAATTAATTTTTGATTACATAATCTAAGCGATAGCTAAACAAAGAGCAAAAAATCTAAAGCCACAATGTCTCTGTCTATACTCATACTAAATTGTTTGTTCATATCTTTGAGAGAACTGCGCTGTGTTGGCCCAGAAAACATAAATTAAATACACTCACATACAGACTGGAGAGACTCGTACTTATTATGCATTACCTAATGAAAAGTGGGCTCTGGCTGTTGGAACTCTCCATGGGGTTGGCCGAAGACGGGGCGGGACGGCTTGGGGCGGTGCGGGACGTAAGCAAATAATAAATAAATAAATAAACGAAAAGCGCAAATAACATTTGAGCGCCAGATTTAATTTCTAACGTTGAGTGCGCATATTAAAACAGGCAACGAGGCCGCAGGACAGGCAGGCAGACAGAAAGCCAAAAGGCATCGTGGCTGTGAGCAACAAACAAAGATGATGCGGATATCACTGCGTCTCTGGTGTTAGTGGAACTGCAACGGAAATGCGGGATTAAAAACATGGAGTTGGAGTAGGAGTTGGAGATGGAGGAGGCAGCCTGTGTGTTGCCTGCGTGCTGGCGGAATGAATCGGGGAAGCCCCACTCCCCCTCCAAAAAAAATAAACAATAAAAGCGTTGGCAAATGTTGAAAATTAAACACGCCAAGAGCAGAAGAAGGGAGGCGTGGCGGAAGGCGTAATAGAAGTTAGCGCGGATAAACAATGAATTACGGAATCATGAAAGCAAATTGACTTTAATGCAAAAATCAAATATTTACACAGTGCGAGAAAAACGCAGATGCAATGCAATTGAAAATGTGGAAAGATGCAGAGTCAAACAGACAATGAGGCAGACAGACAAATAGTCAGATAGTCAGACAGATAAAAGACACAGAAATACAAACACAAACACAAACACAAACAAAGTGAACACATATAGCCACAAAGTGAGGTTATTTTAGACGATGTTCTGGCCCCAAAAACTCGTTTCGGCACTTAAATGCCAATACAGACACACACACACAAGCACACACACAATCACACACACATTCATGTCTGAGCTTAGATATGACCAAGAGAGGATTATGAGAGGGGTGTGAAGGGGCAGCTGTTGTGCGCCGCTTGGTCTGTGGCGTATCCGGGTTTTGAGTGTACGTTATTAGCCCGCTGCTGTGGCTGTCCGGCGTGTCTGAATTTTACGATTTCATTCATTTTTGTGGCTGCTATTTTACGCCACAAAATATGCAACAAAATTTTATTTCCAGAACTCCGCACATCTGCAATGGGGTAAATAAAAATAAAAACTATTATCTAATGTTCTGTAAAGAAAATCGCAAACATTTAAAATGCAGCTCGCAATTTGTTCAAGAATTTCTCAATTAGAATACAAGCAACGAATATTTCCCGTTTCGCTCCATAACACAAAGTGGAACGGAAAGGATAGCAATGGCATAGAAGAGGATGCATTGCACAAATCTGAAAACCATAAAAGTGTCGCTTTCAATTGTGTAGCACAAACCCAAACCAAAAACAAAAAAAACAAGTCCACAAGCGACAATCGACAATCGAAGCCAACAAGTGAAATTGAAACGTTGCACGGCTACAATTGATGATGAAGTGTGTTGGGTGTCCTGTGGATTTTTGACCTTTCTATAGGAGAAGGCATAACGATTTTGTTGGCTGCTTTGTTTTCTGTTTGTGCTAAAAGGATGGTAACTTTTATGATGAGCAATTTCTGTAAATGCGAGTTCAAAAATTATTGTTAAAGTTGTAATTTTATTCTTCAGCTTAAAATTATTGCACAACATTTCATTGCTCTATACTAACTCATTGAGTAATTCCTTCTGTATCTTTAAATTTGAAAAGAGCATTCTAGACTCGACTACCAATCTTTCACATACATATTTTTGTTTGTCACTAGCCCACATATTACTTTTTATGGCGATGCCTGGCGATGATTGACACCTCGTCTGGCAATAAATTTTTAATTTTCAAAGCGCCGTGATAGACTGGCTGACTCACACCCTTGCTGACTGACTGACTGACTGAATGACTGACTGAGTATACGCTCTCGATGCTGGGAGCTTGTTAAATTCAAATTAGAGCCTTGCTCTTTCATAGAGTTTGCCGCTGACAGCGAAGATAAATGACAGTGCTGCTGTGCGATCGCAACAAATTAACCTTGTTAGGGGCTGCAGCCAGCAACAGTTACAAGTGTATGTAATTTTTTATCGTCTCCATAGCAGACACACACACACACACACACTCACATACACCACCAGTCAGCTTCAAGAAGCTGCAACTTACCCCACTGACTGACTGACTTATGAATGGCGTGTGGCAGTTGTGTGCTTGGGGGCAGAACTGTTTTCCTCTACTTCACATCAATAAATCAGTTTGTATATCAAATTGAATTCACGAGCGTGCACTTGACACCAGCACACGCACACATTTATCAGCCGGCTGTCTCAGTTCGTGGAGAGTTGCATTCGCCATCCGCAGCGGAAAACAACGCAGAAAACATGGCATTTGTTGGCGCTTTAGCTTGGCATGAAAATGAAAGCCACAAAATTTTAATTTCCACTAAAAGCGAAGAGGCAAAAATATTAGCGCTTTGCATTATAAATTATTCATTACATTGCCCTCAACCACGCCCATCAACTCCAATGCCTCCCACGCAACCGCGCCTTGCTGACGGCAGCTCGTTTGCACCTAATTTGATTTTTAGTTGTGTTGAATGGCTGCGGATCTCATCTCTCTCTCTCTCTCTCACTCTTACTCTGGCTACGCTGCGGTTGCCCCGTGGCAATCTTTGTTGCTGCCTCTCCACCAGGCAGCCGCAGAAGCGGACGAGGCAGCAAAAAAACACATGAGCGCATGGGAGAATTGGCCACGCCTTCAGAGCTGCTTTATTCCTTGCCATCTTTGGGCTTCATTCATTTCGACTCCGTCGAAAAAATGTCTGTTATGTGGCTGGCAGAATTTTGCAGTAATTAATGGCAACTGTTTGATTAAAAAATTCCATAGTCGGCACCAAACCAAGCTAAAATGAACCGGGCAGATAGTCAAGTCAAGACCGCAGCAAATCTATGCAAATTCCACAAATTGCTTTAACTTGATGCTCATTTCAATCACAATTTCATATATAATTCTTAGACTCAACACAGCCTGGTCTTATATTTCAGATAATATCTATTTTCAATGCTCAAAAATTTGAACAACATTAACATGCAATAACAACTGGAAATGTATCAAATAGAAGAAGTTGATAATAAAAACTGGAAATTGATTTGTTTTCGATTGATTATCCTACTAAACGTTATCGTCTGTTTGGTTAGTAGCTGATTTTAAAATAATTATTTATGTAATGCAATTTATTTATATTTCATAAACAGATATGCAACATAACCGACATTGTGCACCACGCTCAAATTATCTATTGCTACTGGGATTACACGGGCGCTGAGTTTATCAAATTTGAAGTAGCGGTGCTCATTACAAACATTGGAATGATACCCATCCTCATCATTGGCACTCTACTCGTATTCAAGCAGAACATTAAACAATTGCGCTCAGTGAGTGCTTGTGCCTTAGAAAGTATTACGCTGAATTCTACATGTGGCCTCATTTGCAGTACCTTACGATACTGTTTCTATTAAGTTGGTTACAAATGCTGCTGATAATTGCCCTGACGCAGCGTTTCCCGCTCACCCATATAGTCCACTCGAAATGGATGGATCAGAAGAGCATTGCCAAGTATGAAAGTCAGGTTGGTCGAGCATATTCCAATCTGTTTCTTTGTATTTCTTCAGCTGTGCTTATTCATTTTTAGTACAATTGCTGTGGTCGTTTTGGACCAGATGATTATATTCTCAGAACGGGTCGGGTGCCAAACAGCTGTTTGGTCGATACCACTAACTCGGAGTCCAGGGAAATTCATACCACTGGCTGCCTAGCTAAGGATGATGTAGACGCGGACATTATTTCCTACGAGCTGATTACCTCATTATTCCAGGTGAGATATGAGTTAGATACACACATACCTTTATGAATTGTCAACTAGAGCTTATTGCAGTTAATTTTGGTGTTTTTAATGGTCTGCCATTACTTTTATCTGAAGAGAATCAAAGCAGAAAACCGTTCATTTCGTGGACTTTGGCGTGACCACATTTTTTTATAGTTCTGTCCCAGTCAACAAATTGAATTTGCATTTGCATGCAACACAAATTGGTTGGCATTGAAACTGGGGAAATTGGATGAGAATTGGCATTGGCAGCAGCAGCTTACACTTCTCATATTGCACAAGCTGCAATCAATAACGATAAACACTCGAGTGTCTGAACCACCCAAATCCCGATTGTCCGAGTATCCGCCTTTGCATATGCATGAGCCAATAAAGAAATCAAGAAAGCATAGCAAGCGAATCTAAAATAATGCAAATGCCGACAACACACACCGGACCAAGGGCTACAGGACACTTGTAACAATATGCAAAAGGAGAACGCAGCCAAGCACATGTTCAAGGACAATCTAAATTCTCGGAGTTTTTTATTTGCACATAAATTGTATTGTTGTCAACATTAAATTTGTCGTCATGAAAAACAATTTTCAAGCATTTTGAAATGCATAAAATATGCATACGAAATGCTCCACAGAACGACCAACTTTATGGCTAAATAGTTTGCTGCCGGCCCCTGTAGTTAATACTTTTTTTATGCCCGCCCCCGTCGTATCTGAGTCAGTCCCAACGATTTAGCCAAAACTTTTCCGCCATCGCCAACGCTTTAGCCTCACATAACCATAACAATAACAACAACACTTTGGTCAAGCTGCTGAACTGCTGAGCTGCTGATGGGACCCATCGCAAAGTTTATGGCGGCAAGGGCAACTGGCCAGAGAGGGCTGGGGAGAGCTGCTGAAAACCGAAAAAGGGGTCATTTGGCTCATTAAACTTTGGCCAACAATTTTTTGTGCGCCTCCCCAAACCAAAGACAAACAAAAAGTTTTGCACTAAATATTTTGCGCCCATGCGAAAAAAAAAAAAAATAAATATGTAGTAAGTAGCGGTGGGGATAAGCTTTGTGTGAGGGGCATAAAATTATGGCACACATACGCACCATTAAATTCGAGACAAATGTGTAGAGCAGATCTGTGGAACCATTCGAATGAGATAGAACGATGGAGAACATTCTAGCAAATAAAGAAGTCTATTCGAAGTCCTCGAATTTAATTATTGAGAATCAATTGAATATTAGCAATAAACAGCTGCTTATCAATCAGTTTAATTACACTTTTTAGGTGTATCAAATTTCATTATAATTATGATTGATAGAACAATTTATGCTAGTAACTTAACTGATCACTTCAAACAAAATAAAAACGAAGCAAATGTGTTTTGTGCAACTAATTTATAATTTTATTATATTCGATTAATCAACAAAAGTGGTTTCAACAAGTAATGGTTCGAGCTAAAATTGAGCTTAGTAGCCCCAGTGCGAGCCAAAGCCATCAAAGCTAACGTGGGCAACACCAACAGCGGGTGAGTATTTCACATAGGCGCTGGGAGCAGCGACTGGTGTCGAATAAGCCACAGCTGGAGCGGCATAGGACTTGGCATAAACTGGAGCTGGAGCAGCATAGGTCACAGCAGGTGCAGCATACGAGACGGTCTTGGCCACAACTGGAGCAGGTGCAGCGTAGTGGACAGCTGGGGCAGCATACGAGACAGTCTTGGCCACAACTGGAGCAGGTGCAGCATAGTGGACAGCTGGGGCAGCATACGAGACGGTCTTGGCCACAACTGGAGCTGGTGCAGTGTAAGTCACAGCTGGGGCAGCGGCAGCATAGACGGACTTGGTGACCACAGTTGCTGGGGCGCTGTACAGAGTCTTGGGCGTGTACACGTTGTTGGTAGTGCGTGAGTCCACCTTGCTGAAGCTAGAGTAGGGTGTGACGACGTTCTTTGAGTAGGTGGAGACGGTGCCACCGAACGAGCGCACCACATTCTGCTGTGTGGTGCCGACGGCATCAAAATGCGGCTGAGCCAATTTGGTCACCACCGGCGACGACACATAGGTGGCTGGCGCCAAGAGGCCAGCATTGGAGGCGCCGAGCAGAGCGCAGAGGGAGAGAAGGACGTACTTGAATGCCATTGCTGGAATATGTTGATTAACTGCAACTGGAAACGTTACTGATGCCTAACTTGGCCAGTTGTGCGGCTTAAATAGCAAGCAAAAAAAAATTGCTATTGACCAAAAATATTTCACGGTCACAACGACCTCACAAGTGTGACAGCGCAAATTAGGCCTAAGTCTAAGCCCCCCTGTTGAAAACTGGTTCAATGGGTCGGCAAATGACGGAGCGCAAGAGCGACTCAATAGAGGAGTTTCAGTTTCAGCTTCAGCTTCAGCCTCAGTTTGAGTATTGAGTTCGAGTTGCTACCCCAAAGTGAATTATTTTGAATACTATCAGCAGCTCATAAATTTTCCAGAAAACAACACGAAGCGCAAAAACTTTTATTGCTCTGGCGTATTTTTCCATTAAATTGAGTTCAAGTCAGGCAGCAAATATGCCACAGGACAGCACCACCAATCACTCCCTCCCCCACAAATTTCAAGGACTCTCCCGTTTGTGTCAACTTTTTGTGTGGGGTGTGTTTTACTTGTTTTCTTGCTTCCTTTTTGTTTGCTGGCAAACGACTTGTTTATGATTTTTGTACTTTTCGTGCAAGTTTCTCAAAATGAATATCCGCGCTGCTGATGCTTTCTTCTACTCCAGCTCCTGTTGTGTCACGGGGCGCATGATGAATATTTATTGAAATTACCAAAGTTGCCGCTGTTTCAAATTGAATTGTGTTGCCAACTTGGGATATCTTGCACCACTCACCCCCTCTCTCTCTCTCTATCTGTTTCTCCGTGCCTAACTTTCTCTGCATCTTGAATATATTTTGGTTTTTGCTTTTATTTTGGCAAATTGTTATTAATTTTACACGTGTGCCATTGAGCCGCCCTCTAAACCTAATTACCACGTTTAAATTATGCCAACGAAATTGGCTTTCAAATAATTGCCACACAGTCAAATATGTGGACAGGTTGACCAGTTCAGACAGACAGCCAGACAGGCAGCCAAACGAAATTCGCATCTCATTGTGGGCAGTAACAACAATTAGAGTTTGGCACGCGTCAGTTGCGTATAAAAACGACAGCATTTTGAACAAATCAGCATCAGTCAGTTACAGTTGCTGCTTCAGTCGCAATCGCCAGCTTTAATCGTGCAACTCATTATGGCATTCCGTTACCTCATCTCCTTGTGCGCCCTGGTGGCCTATGCCAATGCTGGTCTCCTTGCCAGCCATGTGGCTTACGCTAATCCTGCCGTCGATGCCGTTGCTTCCACCCAGCAGAATGTGGTTCGCTCCTTTGCCGGCACTGTGTCCAGCCACTCAAAGGCTATAGATACACCCTACTCCAGCGTGCGCAAGTCGGACACTCGCATCCAGAACAATGTCTATACTCCGGCTATTGCGAAGACAACCTATGCCGCTCCTCTGTATACTCAAGCAACACCTGTGGTCCAGAAGACTGTATATGCAGCTCCTGCTCCTGTTGTGCACAAGACTGTCTATGCTGCTCCTGCTCCAGTTGTGCACAAGACTGTCTCATATGCTGCTCCAGCTGTCACCTATGCAGCACCCGCACCAGTGCTGCAGAAGACTGTCTATGCTGCTCCTGCTCCAGTTGTGCACAAGACTGTCTCATATGCTGCTCCAGCTGTCACCTATGCCGCACCAGCACCAGTTGTGCACAAAACTGTCTATGCTGCCCCCGCTCCAGTTGTGGCCAAGACTGTCTCATATGCTGCTCCAGCCGTTGCCTATGCTGCACCTGCTCCCGTTTACGCCAAGTCATATGCCGCTCCAGCTGTTGCCTATGCTGCATCCGCACCCGTCCTTGCCAAGACTGTCTCGTACGCAGCACCACTGGCCACCACCAATGTGAATCACGGACCGTCTGCCACCACCTACACCCACAATGCACCCGCTCTGGGCGTGTCCAGCTATGGCAGCTCCCAGACCGTTCACTACTCGCCTGCGGAGAGCGTCTCGCACATGAGCTTCGATGGTTTCGGCACCCACTGGGGTTTCTAAGCGATCGACCGTCTAATTGTTGTTACAGCTTCTTGTTAACGTTTTCTCGTCGAACGAATAAAAATCACATTTGTTTTGTTAAACCGTAAAACCTTAAGACTTTGGCAAAGCTTCCGTTTTAGCATCAGCCTCAGTTTCGAGGCTGGGCAGCAATCATCTTGGGCTAAGCAAAATGAAGCCTAACAAGCAATAAACGCGCAATTGTCCGAGCTGCCCAAAAGTACTCAATGATTATATCAGACCAACAGTTTTCAAATTGGAGCTTGAATTGAAGCCGGTTTTTGCGACGTCATCGTTGGCATTTTTGGGCGGCCTTCGGTGGTTTGTTAAGCGGCTTAGTATGATAACTCTTGGCTGGGGCGTGTCATGTATGTTTGCGCATTATATTATGTGGCATTAATTGGATTTAATATTTTTGCACACCTTCTTTGAACTGGTATTGGAAATGAAATGTTTTGCCCTCAGGCTGTTTTGCCCTTTGTTGATCTATAAAATTGATATCGAAATCGGAATCAGCATCATTGCCATTCAATTAATGAGTTTTGCCGGACCTACAATTGTGACCCGATTTTGCAGTTGTTATAATTATTGTCGGTTAATTATCGTCTGTTTCAGCTGATATAACAGCACTAACAATGAACAAATTTCTTTTGTTGTCCAATTTTTAAAGCTAGCTTTTTAACTTGACATTTAAATGCATTTATCAAGTGACCACAGTTAACTAATGGCCTAAAATATTTAAAGCCATACATCAAATTGGTTAATTCAAGGCAATTTCCCTAAACACAATTGTTATATATAGAGTTAGGGTTAACAATCTGTGAGTGATCTTGAAGTTGCTTAGAAACAAAAGACAAGGTTACTAAATATTTGTGTCTACAAATGAGTTGAGTATAGACGTGATTAGCGGCTCAGACAATTTGCTGATTAACTTATACACTTGTCAATTATGGCAAATACAAATATTTAATTACATTTACTTTAAACCTTACCAAACCGATTTAAAATTTGTCTATATTTGGAGTATTTATTAGATTGATTTTACACTAACATCTAAAATTTAAAGTCATTGCTTTTTATGCATTTATAAAAGAAATATATTTGCGAAAAAGGGTTTTACAAACTAATATTTATTTTTTAAAGTCCAGCGCTGTATCTAATTTGTGAAAGTGTTTAGTCATGCTCTCGTCTGTATGAAGATGACACTCATGAGTAGCTGTCTCGCACTCTGGCAAATTGTTCAATCATCTAATTGAAAGCTGCTTAAAAAGTGATTGTGGAACACTTTATTTAGGATTTTGTACACTTGACAAATCGAATGCACATTCCAAAGCCCCCACTCTCGATTTTGAAGAAGATTATATGACATTGATAGGACAATTCCCCGGATAATGCAGACACAAACAATCAAATTAAACGAAGATAAGAAACGGGGCAACAAATTAACTGCAGTTGTTTTACGTATGATTGCGTATACGCCTCGTGGGCCCACACTCTTGAAGCTGCTGCTGCAAATGCTGTATTGTCTGGTCTGCCTTGACAATTAGTCAATAATTTATTTCAATTTCATTTGGCATGCCAAGTACACACGCACACACACACACTGGCCTAAGTGTAATTTAATTACATTTGCATTTTGGCAAGTGCTTGTATTGCTTTGGTTTTTTGTGCACAAAACTGCTTACGCATGCAGTTGAGCACCAACAATTGTTGCAATTCAATTTACGTAAGCGAATTTTCATGATTTAAATACAAGAGCATTATGGTTTATTGTGCTTAGGAGACAGAGAAATAGAGAGGGAGAAATGGAGAGAGAGAGAGAGAGCAGAAAAAAATGCATATTCTCCATACCATTCGCATTCTCAGTGAGCCAGCTTGTCTGGTGTCTGTTCAGCTATGTCCTGGTGTAATTAAATTATGAAAGGACATAAGACGCATAATAAGTCATAAATCAAATTTACCTATCCCACGGGCATGTCCACCGAAACAGGCAGCAGCCAGCAGGCAGCAGGCAGACAGCTAACTAGAACCCAGACACACTCCAGACACTTGGACACATACATATTGTGCATGGCCTCAACTCTGTGGCCATAATTTGATGGACATTATGACGACTCTGTCTCGGCAAACAATTAGACAATTGATGCATCTGTGGCTATTTGGCCAATGTCATTTTGTATTTGTATCGGGTACATCGGGTCAAAACGTGAAAAGGGCCGACCCCAAAATGCCAACAACCTATCCGTTCAACAGTGTTTACTGTGTGTGTTGTGTGGCTGAATGCATTTTATGTTTATGTCCACGTCATAGCCAGACGCTGTTTGAAGTGTGCAATTGAAAAATTCCTACATTTCAGCAAACGACAAATGTAAATTTTGTGAGTGTGACCAGCGTGTTGCACTGTTCCTGTTTACCCTGTTTCCCATATTGCATTCCAAAAACTTTGCTTGGCTCGATTTGTCCATCGACAAGTACACGATATTGCATTTGCAGCGAGTTCTTACAATGCTTTCGACTTAATGGCAATATATTGTGGCAAATACATTGGCCAAATGTTATGTTCTTAGCACAGATACCAGTTAATAATATGAACAACAAATTGTGTGTTTTTGGCAACAGAAATTGTTCAGTGAAACTTAAGCAGTTCAGCTTCTGTTCGTGCAGTTTAAACAAATTTGAGCATGTTTAACGCAAATGCCAGACGAACTGAAGCATGAGTAGAAAATAAAAGAAAAGAATGGAAAGAAACCAAAGACCTCAGACGACTGCCATCGCGATATGTCATAGTGCCAGACAAAGGGCAGCCCCAGCAGCTATTAGGGGATGGTTGGGGTGGGTTTCGAATGCAGATGCTGAGGTCTTAGCAACCTCGACTAACTGATATGGATCATTGCTTGGCCCGCGGGCTCTGCTTGCCGTCTGTCTGTGTAGATTAAAATTTAATTTTTAATTTAAAGACTGTTTGCGTTTTATTTGCCTCTTGTTGTGTGAAATAAATAAATGAGCGAGCGACCTTTAAGGTTTGGCTATGGCTACGGCTACGGCTTGTTGATTTATCATTATTCTATGCAAATTTAATGCTCACCTTTTCCGTTTTATCAGCGGCATCATCTGTGGCAAGTTTTGTCCCTTCTTTATCTGCTACAGTGACTGCGAACTACGACTGCGGCAGCCACGTGCAATGTCAATGCCAAGCGATTAACATTCAATTAGCTTTTGGCTTCATCAATGATTTTATCGCCAGCTATTAGAAGAGGGTCGTTTCGGGTGAGGGGGCTACAAGTGCCCCTGTTGCTGTGGCTGGTTTGATTGTAAATTGTGGCAAATTATCATTAGCTTGTTGTTGTTGTGCCTGCTTGTTACGGGTGTGTGTGTGTTTGTTTGTGTGTTTGTGCCTTGACAACGACATCTTCACATCTTCAAAAGGTTTTTATGACATCAACAGCTGTCGTTGACAGATTATTGTGGCGATTATTTTAGCAGACACAGTTTGGGGCCACAAAGCAAAAGGGCAGACAACAACAATGAAACAGGCAAAGCCAGAGGCAGAGGCAGAGGGACAGAGGAGCAGAGGAGCAGAGAAACAGGCAATGGTATCCTGTGCTGTGTTGGCTTCAGCCTGAGGGGGGCGGGTTAAAGGAGTCTTGTCTTGCTGTATTGTGCTGCTTTGTGCGTTCAACTGGAAATTGTCAACAATGTTGTCATTGTTGTTGTTCGCTGTTGGTGTTGCACATGTGTGTGGCCTGGCCACTTAAAACATCTTGTGGACTAGCACTTGTAAATAACTATGTTTCACTTGGAATACTTGTCATTTATGTTGGCACTTTTTATACACTCACAACAACAATACCGGCACATTATTCAATATACTATTTAGTATCGGTAATGTGCATTCGATCAACGCGTTTCCTTAAAGTCCTAGCCGTTGTATTTCTAAGCATCCTTTTGGTAAGTGTTTACAGATGCTTGCCATTCAGTTGCATTATATTGATCTTTATGCAGCAATTTTGTGCCATTGAAATCTGTTTGGATATCGACCATGGAATTGAAGACAATAGCGAAAGGACATTGTTGATGATTTCCGCCATTGTGACCACTATTTTTCTGATTTTTTTCTCATGCTTTGGTATTTTTGTCGTATTAGGTGATCAAGTTAATCGACTGAAACTGGTAAAATTTAATGGGCATAGATAATTTGAAGCACTAAAATTAAATGAACAACTTTTCCTGATATTTTCAGCTGGCAATCGGCATCGCTGTCTTCATAGTTATCAAATTCACTCTGTGGGTACTCTTCTTGACACTTGCCAACCAACCCGACGTGGCTAAGAGCACCCTATGGTTACACCTTACGAACTTATGGGCAGTAAGTAAGCCGAACTATTACTAATATGCAAATGCAACTGCCTTATTTTCCAGGTATTAAGTCTGATTACGATTATACTTTTGATCAGAGGACGAATGCGTAGCTAAAAGCTAAAAGATTTGTGTCGCCTACATCATAAAACATAAATATTTTGCAATATACAAATGTGCTTTTTAGGATTACGTGTACTTAAGGCTAATGTCCATATTCTCTCTCTGTTGGTCTTGGTAAGCTAAAGCTTATGCAGATAAGCCATAATTATTCATTTGATTCTATTTAGTTTTGCAATGTTGTTGACCTTGTCATCACTATTAAAAACCTTGACGAATGCAAGGGAACAGCAAAAATCTGGTTGATTGTATCGATACTGCTAAATACTCTACTCAATTTTGGAATTAGCTTGGGAAGTTATGGAGCTGTGATAATGAAAACATTATACCTAAAGCTGGTATGTTCAAGGCACTTAAGATTGTATTAAAAATGTATAAAACCCTCCCAAATCATATTCAGTATGCAGTCACACTGATGGGCTTCATGATCAGCAAACTAGTTCTTGCACAAGCAGTCAGGTATTTGGATGATGCACATTACAATCTGTTAGTGGGAAATTGGTATTATCTGGTTACAACATTTTCTGTAAGTGCAGTTCAACTGAACGAATGGTAAATGTTGAAGATTTCTTTTATTTTATTGCAGGTTCTCTGTTTAATATTCGTTGTATCACTTCTTTTCAAAATGCGGGAACGAAGGGATATCAATTCAGATGGATGAGTTGTAAATAAATAAATACTAGATCAGATTAGCCGATTTTGTTTCATAATTAAAAGAAAAATGTTATGTAAATTGGATTGTATAGCTTCTATAATACAAAGCTTTGAGATTTGTGTCCGTTTATTCAGGCTGAAATAAAATTAATAAAATAAGTATTTATTTAAGCACACAAATGTGCTTTATTGGATTAAAAGCACTTAAGATACTTACGCTCTTAGTATCCGTCATTCTTGCCGTAAGCTGTATTTGATGAAAATATAGTTTAATATCAATTTGAAAAGGCTTAAATCTGTTCAGCTGTGCAATGTTCTTGGCATCAGTGTGGCCGTTACAACTATTTGTGAAACTGAAAGAGCTGTCAAAATGGCTCTATTTGCATCAATTGTGTTGGATACTCTCGTCAATTGTGGAATTATCTACGGCATTTATGGAACTGTTCGTAATAATACCTCAAAGATAAAAAGGGTAAGTAATAAATATATTTGGTTATGCTAACCTTTGATTATCATCTCCAGTTCATATTTGTATTGCTTATCTTCTTTATCGGCAAAATAACGATTGCAAAATTGATTGCTGAGTTCGATGACAAAGATATTGAAATCATTATTTCCATATGGTATCAGTTTGATGTGGTGCTCACTGTGAGTTTTAATAATTAATCTATAACGAAAATTCGTAATTTATTTCTTTTATTTCAGGGCATTTGTCTGGTTTGCGCTACTCCATTGTGTTTGAAGATATTGGAAAAAGAGAATCGATCCTTAATCCAAGTGTAAACTAATATTTATTGTTAAACTGATTCTAAATTACAAAATGCAAAGACATCTAGAAAATATCTTAATTTTCATATATGCGCCAACTTTAACTTTAACTCACTTTACCACCAGAATCATTTAATGGTCAAGACATTCGATGAAGTGTTTCAGATAGCAAAATGTGTGGCAATTTGTGAGTTGTGTGGGAGATCGAATTACATGTGGAATTATGGACACAAAACACCCGCAGGATAACAGACTCACCAACAGCAGCAGCAGCAGCAGCAGCAGCAGCCAATAAAGATGACGATGACAAGATAAACGAAAGTTTGTGGTCCAAGGGCGTCGATGGGAAGGGGTCAATGGGTGAATTGTCGTCTGTTTTAAATGAAATTTAACGATGCCCACAAATAATGGCACTTTGCATTTTAAAACACTTCTGCGAGTCCAAATGGCGACTACGGAGACGGTTAAAAGTCAGCCAACGGACGCGACATTGACATTCAATTGGTGCCAGGACGAAGGACGATGATATCCCAGTTGTACTGCTACTGTGAACTCTGATGCTCATTATACGCATATTCATTTGACACTTTTATTGGCACAGCTGTCCACCGCTGATATTTCACGCTTTCCTGCCAGGGGAGGGGCCCGGGTACTTTTGGCCAAATTAAATGCGTAATGCTGTGAGCTCCATTTATGCGGGTCATTTTATAGCCAGAAACGGATGCGGATGCGGTAACGGATATACCGATAAGGCCATTAAATTTTTGCAGCACTTTTGCTGTTTTCCCATAAACTGGTTGCCACATCACTCAGCCATCAGCACCACCAACGCCCGAAGCACTCAGCCAATTACGCAAATAAAAGAAAAATACACTCTCTGCTCTCTCGTCTGCTACTTATGTGGAAACGTGTCAAAGTGCTGAAAAATGCAACAGCTTTTACAACCGAGTGTGTGGGTGGGCCACAGGAGTGGCTCATTAGGCGTGTTGGCCTGCCCCCAAGGTGTTGCTGGGTAAATTGTGTGGAAAAACGAGCACACTAAGCCCACAGTCATTCTCAAAAATTTAATGCGCATTCGACTATGATATTTTTTGTGCAACAAAAAAGATATAAATATATTTGCCCCAAATTGTATGATTCCACTTTCACAATCGCTTAATTAAAGCCCTGCGAGCTGTGGGCGATTTTCATCATTGTCAGCAGTCTGGTAAAAGTCCAATTGTCGCCAAGCAGCGCAGCTGTTTCAAATGCTGTCCCCAAAAACAGCATGTCGTCCTCGTAGCTGTCCTTGCCCGTCGTCCAGGCGCATATCCTGCGGCTGATTAAAATCTATTAGAGTCAAAGAGATGTAAGACACTGCGTCGGCCTCCTGAACACTGAGTGGGTGGCTAACTGGGTGGCTGTTTGGCTGCTTTGGCCAATGACTTGGCATGTAAATGTCGACGCAATTGAAATGCATGCGGCGGAAACTTCCAACTTGCTATAACTTAAATACATAATACATACAATAAGCATTACGGGTTTCTCATTAGGTTCGACAAGCAGTCAACATTAAGTAGCAAATAAAAGTAAGCGAAATTGCCTAATATATATTTTATTGGGAGTTTCAAGAAACCCCAATATTTTCCATAGATTTCTAAGTCATTCTTCTCCATCTTAATAATTTATTTCAATAAATTTGTATTCCCTTTTAATGTTACCATTAATAATCATTTGTATATTCATTTGTGTTATATATCAGCATTATATTCTGCACGTTTTCAATAACAACATGTACACTTTTTGCTATCTATAAAAAATAAACTTAATATGTAAGGGTATTCAAGTGCTATTTGTTGTTGCAGGCATTGCGGTCCTGCCAAAAGTCGCACACAAAAACTTTGAGAGCAAAGTTTTTAACGGAAATTGTGCAGCTGTTTTGTGTGCGACGACAACGATGTAAAAAGAGGGTGAGAGGCTGAGTAGGTGTGAGAGGGGGGAGGAGGAGGAGGGTAGCACTTGTTGGCTACCCAACCTACAACTTTATAGATATTTAGATGTAGTAGAAAGAAAAGCGTCTTACAAAATTTGTTGAATTTTAATTCAATGGCAAGGCTGAAAGTGGCGCTCGTTACAAGTGTTACTGTGAGTGCGAGTGTGTGTGTGTGTGTGTATGTGTGTGTGTACTCGAATATGGCATATAAACTTATATATGTACCTATATGTTCCTATCGTTATCGAGCATGTGCCAACATGTGCCGCCTCTCAATATGAATTTTCATGATTAAAGCGCGTGTCGCTTGGCAATTTTATCGCTAAAAGACAGCTCCGGAACGTCGCCGTTTCGTGGGTTTGAGGTTCGATTGAGAATTTTCTTATAAATTATCGTTGGCAACAAATGTGTCCACACAGCCATTGGCACGCATGCATAATAAAGTGATTTTAAAGGGCACTTTTTGAGGGCTTGCGTAAAATGTTCCATTTGCGTGGCGCTCTGAGTGGGGCACTCAACTTTATTGGAATCGAAAGTTGGATGGGGTTCAAAATGCTCGAGCACATGTGCGCCGAGCTCTAATGTAACTTGGCTTTAACAATTCATTAAAATTTCATATAAATGGTGCAGCAATAGCCGCATCAGAGCGCATTACATCGCATCAACTCGTTGCGAGCTGAGTAAAGTAATCCACTTTGTTATTAACTGCTATTTACAAATGTGCATCTAGTGCCAGGGAATACAGGACAATACAATATCAAAATATATTAAATGCAGCGCAAAAGCGTCAAGTCATAAACTGCTCATCAGTCTTGGGTCTACAGTTGGCTAGCCATTCCCCCCAACCCCCCCAACCCCTCTTGGCTGTAATTATGCGCGTTGCTGTTGCAAAAACTTAACTATCACTATCACAACTCATTCTCGTACTCGTGCTCATCCTTGTTGTCATTGTCTCGACGCGCAGCAGGAAGCGCCAAAGCACCGCAGGGCAGATGGCAACTGGTAGCTGTTGGTTGCTGGTTGCTGGTTGCTGGTTGCTGGCTGCTGGGTTGGTAGTGGTCTGGAGAGGGGTCCTTTTGACGCTGATAATGCAATTTCCGCGTACAGCGCGTAATTTACTGTTATGCAATGTTTCATTTTATTTCTGCCCTCTGACTTTTGCAAAGCACAATTTTTTAAAGCGCCTCTGAGACAATCAACGCTAGTTGTTGCTATTTATCTACATAAAGTTAATTGAAAGCATTCAAATGCTGAGGGAACAGCGTACTGCCTTTTGGATCTGGCTGCTGCGTGATGTGTCAACATCTTTCGAATGCCACATAATCCCCAACATGCCGCCGCCTGGCCGCCTGGCTGCCTGCCCGCCTGGCTGCCTGGCTGACTGCATGTCCACTTTTATGTCCTTCTCATTCGTAGTCTTTATTACAAATTGGTTTTCTGCACTCGCTCGCATGTTTCGTGCGCAATTTGCAGCCCCAGTCAAATGAATATGGAAGCCGCAGGAAAAAATCGCCAGCACTCGACAAATGTACAACACAAAAATGGCAAAAAAGATAAAGAAAAAATTAAGAGAAAAAATAGTAAATTGCAGCCGGCAAACGTAGAGTAACCCACACGTGGTAAATCCAGGAAAAATCTCCGTTCAATGTCGAGAAACGTGTTCACTTTGCACGTTAACGAACTGAAATCGAAAGTTTTGGTTGCGGTCAGCGTGGGTATTGTCAAAGCCGTCTATTTGTCTATGGGTCCGTTGTCCCCCCATTCGTATCGTCGTCCTTGTGCCTCCCACAGTAGTGACTGTCAGATTGAATGGTTTATGTGCGACACCTTTGACCGGTCAGGTCGAGTTGCCAGCAATATAAATTAAACCTGCCGCTGGAAGCTGAACAACTTTAAGCCATATCCCAAAATCGTTTCACTGAGATAAAAAATGCTCGAATCTTTGGACGGAATGTGGTTTTATCATTCATTCTAACAAGTTGGCTGAAATTGTATATTTTACTTCAGAATCTTTGTCTCTTAAGCTTGAGAAGGGAAATTTCTTGAGCGAAGTTGATTGTGCATTTTCGAATGCTTCAATTTTAATTTAATTGAATGAATTATTCTTAATAAAATTAATAAGTTAACTTTCAGAAATATGCTTGTGATTCGAAAAGTATATTTTGATTAATCTTTCTTTTCGCCTGATCACATAAAAGGAATGTTTCGGTTCAGCTGCAATTTCCACCCTCAATTTCGGGTTTGCTTTTATTTGCCCAGGAAAAGTCACGTGGCATTCATAATTCTTAAAATGACGCCATCAGAAATTATGTAGCAATGCTAAGTGCACCCAAGCAGCGGCAGCTGCCCCAATGTCCCCTATCCTTCCCCCGCAGTTCTCCCTATCCCCCTTGCACTCGGACTTGTAGTACGTGACCAGCATTTGTCGCGCAGCAAAGTATGCTATGATTTTTGGACTCTCTCGAACAATGGCGAATTGATTTTGCCTTTTGGGGCAACTGCCGAAGCTGATTATGGAATTAAAACATATTTTTGCCGCTGCCAGAACTTAAAACTTTAAGTGGCAAAGGTTGTTACCGTACGTGACATTCTTCCGCTAGCCGAGTTTATCACACACACACACACATCAACACACACACACACACCAACACACACTCACACACAAAATGCGTTTCATTTCCATTGTTGGAAAAAAGAAGAAAACAAGTTTTCCATGTGTCAGAAAGAAATGAATAAGTAAGCGAAAACTACAAAGAAGTTAACTACAAAAGCGCACTGTGAAAGTGAACTTGGGTTACAAAGGCTTTCATTTGTGTGGGGGAGAGGAAGGAGCGTGGCAAGCAGATAAATAACATTGAATGCGAAAATACAGAGAAAAACGAAGAGAACGAACAAAAACGAATAAAAAAAAAATAAACAATACGCCTTTTGAAATGCTAAACGTGACACACACGCACACTCTGTGTGTCACTGTGGCCCGGAGGCACTCTTCACACTCTTCACACTCTGCCAGGACGCGCACAGGACTCGTGTATTTATTTTTATTAGCCACCTCCCCTTGCCAGGCGCACACCCCCTCCCCTCGTC